TTGTTTATCATATTTTATCGTCAAAAGTGATAATTTTCTTGATTACATCTTGTTTGGTAAGTTGAAACCAAAAAAATAAAAAAGAAAGAAGTTGATAATATAAACAATAACAAAACAAAGACACCTTATTGAACGTTTTGATTACAATAGATAAAGCTGACAATAGGGTAGGGGGACTGTTTTGAAAAGAAAGATTAACCCGTGTGTGATATTTTCAAGTGCCGTCTAACACAGCATAACCATCAAGGGGAAGGGAAGGTTTAAAACCTTGTCTAAAGGGATGTATTTCGTGAAAAGTCCCTTTAAGGGGTTGTCTAAGGGATACCTGTCGGGGACAAACGTTTTTTAATACGACAGTCCAGGGGGTGGGAATTGCGATAATGATAATGATTGTGATATGAAGTGCAATGGTGATGACGCTGCTGCTGATGATGATGATAGAAAACATGTTGCACATTTTCTTCTCAAACGTGACGATAAATGTCTTCATCGTTGAAATAACTATGCCGTTAAATGCACGCCTGTAAATGAAGATACTCTCGTCGTAGCACAAGAATAACCTAAATCAATTTCTACTATAAAACATTATCTGAAAACAAAAAAAAAACAAAAAAAAAAAAAAACAACAAAAAGGAAATCACATACCACCAAATATCTGTGGAAATAAACTTAATATGTGTCCGATTGGGCCATACTCACCACAGAATAGAATTCGTTGTATTTGTTGTAGGTTGATTTGGAAGAGGCATCTGTTCAACCTTTTAAGGAACTGGCAATGTCACGCCAGGTTTCAGAAGTGCTTGGAGGCGGTCATCACATCATCCAGATACTCGTCCCCGATCGCCACTCCACTTCACGGACAAGGATAGAGATTGTGTTGGATAGAACGCGCCACACAAACTTTATGTAAGCATACTTAGATCCAGACACCATATGTCACAGTATCACCGCCAGTTTCAGGCCAGCTTCAATTAGCTTTAGGTAAAAGGTATGCTGCATCGCTAATTAGCTTCTGATATGTCCAAGTATCTCAACAAACATATCATGTGACATGCGCATGATGTTCGTGAAGGATTTGTCATCTTCCTAGCAAAGCTCAACCATGATTCGGTCGAACAAACAAAACACTTGCCGTCTTAATAACACTGATTTAGTCAAGCACTGTCGTCTTTTCAGGGTCATTTTCTCTTTCGGCGAGGACCCTCTGTTTTTATGAATGTTCTGTCCTCTTCATGCATGTCTATGGCATACATATAAAGCAATTGTAGTCTTTCTAGATCTAGCCCAAAATCAAATTAACCTTGCTCACGAATAGACGTTCGGGAAACGCTCGAATGATGCCCAATGAACGCTAAGAGGACGTTCTTTTCATTTAAGTCACACGCTATGTGCGCTAGTAGCGGTCGTTGACAGATTGTCAGTGAGTCGTTCACTGCAAAGCAAACGATTAGCATTAGCCTAGTAGATTAACGACTGACTAACGATAGCATAACGCGTGCAAACGTTGATTAAACCTTCCAAGAACGTTCTTAAATATTCTTCAGCAAATCAAATAAAACAACTAAGAACGCTTGTCCCAGTGAAAGCTTATATGCATGTTCAAAATATTTTAATATACGGACTATCGATTCCCGGTCATCACCGACGTTCACCAGGGTTCAAACACCGCTCACTTGTGCTATCCCAGCAACCATTGGGGGAATTCAAACGTTGCATGCCTGATAATTTCTTCTATTCAGGATAAATGAGTTCTGCATCCCAACATGTTCCATTGATTATTTTGGGAGAGACAACATTTTACATTTTATGTGTAAAATTTGTCTTAATAAACATACCTAAATTATCTTTTCAAAAATGTATTATGCATTTTAAATTCTACATTATATATTGTGTTATTGGACTTAGTTTATACATTCAATGAATTAAAAGATAAAATGATGGGTGTTATGTCTTTTTGATTGTCCTTGTTTCATATCATTATGGACCTGCCAATCGCAGTTTAAAAGATCCTGTAACACAATTTGTTATGGTTTTATATCATAAATATGATGCTCAAATTAAGATTTATCAATTTTGTTAGTTCCAAAAAAGCATAATATATAAAGATATTACCCAATTTAACATTTCATGTAAATAAAGGGAGGTAATAAAAAATTCTATAAAGTCCACGTCAAATTTTTCAATAGGAAATGAATGCATATATTTTAATGATTACATATAATATGTAATCATATATGCAGTACATATTTTACATATTATTCGATGTCTGAAAATTGTTTTATAAGCATAATTATATACATATATATAATTTCACTTAAGTGTGGTATACAACCTCAATTACAACATACAACATACAGGATCTTTAAAGTTTGAAATGAAAGACACTTGGGTCAGCAAGGTTTAAAATTGTGCAAGTCATATAGTATTTGACTGATAAATTAAAAATATTGTTAAAAATGTTAGGGTGTATATATAATTATTTTATATGAAAACATTGAAAGTCTGACTTTGGTAAATAGAAATGACAAGAATATAGTTTGTTTTATTTTGTGATACAAAAATTCTGACTGTGCTTCTATTTTGTGCTATTATGAGGTCAACACATTACTAAAATACAAATATGCATGTGCATAAAAAAGGCATGCAAGGAGACCTTTATCATTTCCTAGAGCTAGAGGCTGACACGTTTAAGTTTGAAAAAAAGGAGTTTATATCAGACGTGTAAGATACACGTTAGATCGCCGTAGTATATAATGTTACATATGATTTAGATTATTTGAATACATTGTGGGCTGGGAACAGTGCACACTGTGAGATGCCATACAAGTATTTTCACTACCTAGTATATTTTAAATTCCTGAACAATATTATTCTACAATAATTATCTATCCATGAAAAATGTTTTAAGTTAGACCATGGTTAATGGGCACTAAAATGAACAGTAAAATTGACAAAATAGGACAGTAATGTGTCTTAAAGGTCACCTGTATGCAAAATTTAAATAAAATTTGTCGTGTGGTTTATGAGTTATGGATATATTTCTGAACTAAAACTTTGCTTTAAGAAAGGCTTTTTTTTCAGAAATGAAGAAACTCTAAATAATCTATAATATCATCATTATAAAAAATGTTTTGCTATTGCTCATTGTTAAGAAGCAAATAATAACAGTGAGATAACAAATTACACGAGCAAAATGATTGTTTTTAAACAAACTATTTTTCATATGTATAAAAATGTTACCCTACCCAACCGTCTTTAAAAACTTATTTGACCATTTCCCTATATAAAAAGCTAATTCAAAATATCCCTAAAATTTACCACAATGATGGGCTGTTTTCAAAGTTTCTGAAAATATTCTGAAAGTATATTGGTTGATCATGCGAAATATAAAATACTAAAACCGTGCAGTTTTAATTTTATTAAATTTTGAAAAAATCTGGTATCATATTTGCGATTTAATTTAGTATAATTTAACATATAAATACCTACAGTAGTTATATAATTAAAATCAAACACTTTTGACCTCCATAAGGGATCTGAGAGATGCATAAATAATGTTAAAAAGAAAACAAAAAAAAAGTAAAAAAGTCCCTCAACTTCAATGTAGTTGATTCTTTCCTATTTGAATACTCTTCAATGGTCTACCTAAAAATAAAGAAAAATGTTAACGATTATTGTGTAACTGATAAGTACTTATGAAGGGCAGTTCTGAAACAACACTGTTGACTCAGTAAGATAATGTGTAGCTTTAATATTTTTGAATATGGATCATAAGCTTATATACCTTGAAAAGTTTGATAAGATATTATGAAATACAATATTTTATTGTATATAACGTCTGTGATATATCATAATAATTTATACATCCTTTTTAAGTTAAGTAGTTTAAATTTTATCTTAGTATATGAACATAACTCTGTGAAATTTCCTTCGGGAACAAGGCAAAGGACTGGAGCAGACAGACCTAATAAATATAAATTTTAGTTTAAATTATCAGAATGACTTTTAAAATTGGTTTCATAACGGCAGATTTTTTTATTCCATGTTTAATGACTTTAAGATTTGTGAAGTAAACTAAGTTTTAACTAGAAATATGTGTGAAAGCCATGGATGCCCTGCTAAATATTTTAAGACACAGAGTAGTGCGAACAAAGTGTTATGACAGGACAGCAAAGTTGGAATTTCATAAACATGTTTGCAATTACAGACCCTCTAAAGTAAGAGGACACATGACCGTTGGTTAAAAACAGTTTCTTGATATTCTAAAAACCTTTATTATAGTGTAAAAATACAAGTTCAATAAAGTTTATATAAGTTACATTTTTATTGTCACAGTACAGCATTGGTAATCACAATTACTTTTGCCATCTGACTTGAAAATCTCGTGATGCATAGCCGAGTAATGGACCAGACAGGATTTTATAACTGCTCACAGTTTACCTGTAAGTGTGACCTTGACCTTAGAGTTACTGATATTGGTCTTGCGCATGACACACCGACTCTTCTTTCTACGCATTTGTGCCGTGTTAGTTCAAAATGCTTTGATGTATAACAAATTGAGAAAAATATCCTATCAGAAAACTTATCTTTTTCCCATTTGATGTAGTCGTGATTGAAGCGCGACAAAAATAAATATATATTTTTTGTAAATTCGACCCTTGAACATCTCGGTAAGGTCTACTCGGCCCTAATAAATACCTATTAGTTTTTTATACCGCGTATAAAGTTTTGTTTTGAAAATTTTTTATATATCGTGTAAATACTGTATTTATGTACATTAATAAATTGTAATTCTAGTAATTTACTATGTACATACTTATGTCAATTAAACGTTTCATTTATAAACATTAGGATACGAAATGCAATATTTATTAAATATTTAAAGAGTTAGTTTTAAGGATTAATTTCTAATATCTAATATAAGATATCTAACATAACAACATAAACTCACAAAATAAATTTCACGTCAGTTGTGTTTATATCTAAACTCTCCTTTGCAGGTTGTACATACAGCTTGTTTATGGATTTTTGTTTTCAAATCATCGGCACAAGGTAAGTTCTAGATTGAAATATCGTTTTTGCTTTTCATAATTCATATAATTACGTACAAGAAAAATCGTGTGTCGAAAGTTTTAATAATTTACTAATAATACTGTAATTTGAACAATGTTTGTGATATACTAAATAAAAGAAGTGTGAACATGACCATCAACAGAAAAATATTCTGGGTTTTTGTTGTTATATCTATTGTTGTTGTTGTGGTTGTTGTTGGAAGACTACCAAACAACTTATCAACAGCAATTAAAAAGTTCAAAGCGATTTGTTATATCCAAGTAATAATAAGGTTAGTATCCTTTATATGCTTTTAAATTCATGTAATAAAGCAACGAAGTTTACGTCATTTAAATGCAACGTAAATTGATTGTAACGACTTTGTTGATTGTAAGATAACCTTGTCCTTGAATTCAATTTTATACGTAAAAACGTTTTCATGGTATCGTTATATTTCAAGGAAAACGTAAAAGGTATTACGATTTAATATTTTAGAGGTTGATGAACGATGTAAAGTGGATTGTGCATGCTGTAAGAAAGGAAAATGTGGATTAGGGACATATTTTTCGGAGGAATGTACTCTAGGCTGTATAGATGGCTATAGAGGTGCTCGATGCTGGATTAAATGTAAATTCAACTGTCCAAAGTGTGCCGTTGATTATTCGTTATGTACGGCATGCTATGATGGATATTATCTAGGCCCTGATAGTGACTGTACATCAAAATGCTTACCCGGATGTAAAACATGCACGACAGGAACCACGTGTACATCATGTAAGGAGGGATATGAAAATAACAACAATACATGTAATAGTCTCTGTCCAAGTACCTGTAGCACGTGTTTGTCGAAAACAAGCTGTGGGTCGTGCAAGGATGGTTATTATATCGGTTACCAGAACGACAACATTGACCTCCCTAAATTGAACAACTGTACGTACAAATGTCGAGATAATTGTGTACGATGCACTTCTTATGACAATTGCTCTGTTTGTAAAACTGGTCTATATGGAACAAACTGTGCGAAAAATTGTTCAGTTGGTTGTAGCGCAAACACTTGCGATATACAAACTGGAAACTGTGAATGCGACCCTAATTATGCTGGGGAAAGATGTGATAAATGTAAAACCGGGAAATACGGAAAAAATTGCGGTCAACAATGTCCCACGGGATGTAAAAATAACGTGTGTGAAAAAGATTCCGGAGAGTGTACAGACGGTTGCACTTCAGACACAATCATTGGTAATAAATGTGATATTTGTTTAGCTGGTTGGTATGGGAAATACTGTAACATGTCTTGTTCTGTCGGCTGTAAAAATCAGCGATGCAACGAAAGTGATGGGAAATGCTTAAATGGATGTCTTGATAACTTTGTAGGAGGTAAATGCAATCAGTGTCTAGCTGGTAAATTTGGAGAAATGTGCAACAGTGACTGTCCACATAATTGTGATTATAAAGGCTGCTTGAAAGACTCCGGCAATTGTATTGAATGCAGTCAGAATTTCGGTGGTGTGAAATGTGAAAAATGTGCTGTTGGATTTTTTAGTTCACTTTGCTCTGAAATATGCCCGGTTAATTGTTTAGACAGTGTATGTGATAGAGAATCAGGCACGTGTTCTGATGGCTGTAAAAACAATTATTCTGGTGACATATGTTGTACTAATAATAATAACTGTATTACATGTTTGTCGGAGACTAGGTGCAAACAATGCACGTCTGGATATTTTAATGACAAATGTGACAAACAATGCCCAGAGAATTGTCTTGGTTCTTGTAATATTGAATCAGGGAATTGTAGCAGCTGCAAAGATAACTATTATGGTGAAAGCTGCAACTTTTCTTGTTCACCTACGTGCAAAATACGAACAACGGCAAGTGGAAGTGTATGTCAGCAGACAAATGGGAAGTGTCTATATGGATGTGTTGATGGTTTCTATGGTTTACAGTGTTCCGAGAAATGCTCTGTTTATTGTAACGATACACTCTGTGACCGAGAGGACGGCCAATGTACAAAGGGTTGCCAAGTTAAAGTAATAAATGATCCCGTTTGTCCTTTGATCTCAGGTTAGAAACATTGTGCATAAAATGTACGTTATGGTAGCTTTGAAGTAAAACTCTTGGCTGTGGAAAGAATAAAACATGTATCCTTAAATCATAATTAAGAAATGAGTAGAACATTTATGAAATATAATTAGATATTGTTGCTTCAACAGATTTGGTATGAATAATACATATACCGGTAGGTATGTTCATTAAAGCCTTAGTCTGTTATAACCGAAGTACTTTAAGCATATGCAATCAGTATTTATCCATGCCAGTCGACATGTCATTTCCATAAACCGTCTTTATACTATTCATGTATTTTGATATTTATGTACTGATAAATGATATTTGACAGTTCTGGAATACAAACTTGATACGCTCATTAAAATTACAGCATGATACAAATACTTTAATCTATTCTCAGAAAGTTTTCCATCACTTACATGATACTATACATACCATTGATTTCAGATCAACCGGTGAATACGGCTGCTGTAGTATTTGGAACTCTTTTTGCTGTGTCAGTAGTGGGTAACATCATTACAGTGTCTGTGCTGTTACTCTTGAAGTGTCGGCAAAGGTAATGTTTTTTTTTTTTCATTTATCATTCACAAATCAAGAAACATGCATAAAAGTCTAAAACAAAGCGATCCCTCGGAAGCATTTAAAGCAAAAATATAAGATGAAAATAAATTGCGAACTCGTTTTGATTGAGTTTGCTCATGAGAGATAAGTTAAATTGTAATACCTCTCTCACTTTTCCAACTTGTTGAAAATAATGACAATCCTAAAATAAGTATTCAAAATTAACTGCAAGAAACTTAAATTCTATATATTTTACATAAGAGTTTATTTTGCACAGGCCTATACTGAGTTACAAATTATGTCAAAACTTACGAGAAAACCATTAGTTTTCATTATCCTGCATGTTTACTCATGTACATGAAAAAAGTATTTATAAATGTCTACCTACGACGTAGATATTGGTGCTAGAAATTGAGTTCCTTTATCGAAACACGACAGGTTTATTTAGAAACACATACATCTACATATTTCTATTTGTCAAGATTAATAACCATTGTTAAATCTTACCATTAGCAATTCCGTCAATTGTACAAAAAATCTTGCATACTATTTAGAAGGGTTACGTACGATACGTTACGATCATTTTCCGATTTTCAGTGTTTTTTTTTTTTTTTGGTGGCGTATTTTTCTTTATACGTGTTGCAAATCCGTGAATTTATTATACTAATAAGACGTTCTTATTTACAAACTTCTCTTTAAAACTTCGTTTTGATTAACCTTAAATTGTCTAAATAGCTCTTTTTTAAATCTAAAATGACGTTCAGTGTTTTAGAAATTAATAAAACTTTAATATTTAGAGAAAAAATGAATGTAATGAAATTAATGATGACATATTAAATTGTTCTACTATTTCGTAAATATGTGGAGTTCTTAATTTGGCTTCAGACCCAAAATCTTCACACACTCTATATGTTGACTGGGGTCATGAACCTCTTTCGGTCTATCTTTAGTAATCACAATGATTGTTTTTGTTTGTGAAACCAAAGCCGGGTAACAAAGATTTTCAGTGTTTTATATTTTCTTTTTTCATCATAGAATCTTTCCATATAAAGATACATCAATTTGTTTAAAAAATTTTTTTTTTGTTTGTTTTTACCTTAGCTCAAACAGGAGTTGTTCCGTTCATATATATTTTGTATATTAATAACAAATACTTCTTGAAAGAAGTCCATGATTTATTTGGCCTCTTTTGAATTGTTCTGAAGTTGCTGATTGTTTAGAACAATGTCAAGAGACAGCCTTGATCTTTCCTAAAAGTTGCATTATTCTTCCTCGCATATATATTTTCAGTTAATGGTCTTCGCAATAAAAAAATATTATTACATATTCAGAATACTGAATACATTTTCCCAAACAGCAAATCGAATTGTTTAAATGATTATAATTACTAAAACATAATTCTCTTTACTAAACAGAAACAATGTCAAAAACAAGGCAAGAGGACCATCTTATGAAAATTCTGGTAACTATGATGTTATTTACTATAGTTTGTTTTCTGTTTCTTTTCCTTTAAGAATTTGTGTTTTATTAATTTTATTTTTGTTCAATTTAAGCATTTCAAATCTGTTTTCTTGTGCATCTCTAGTAAAACAAAAATAATGCACTCAGTTTCAAAATGTAATGATGTGAATAAAATGTTAACATTTCAGAAATAGTACTAGAATGTGGAAATTTTGCAAGTATTGAGAACAATAGAAGTACACAAGGTGCGTGTACTTTGTTGTATTTTCTACACTGTAATCGATTTCTTTTTCTACACTGTAATCGATTTTTTAGATAAATTTGCATTCGTTAAAAGTAATGACTGACCACTTTTAAAGCCAATTAAAGTCTTTGATATCATTAAATGACAGTATCCACTTAGAATGAATTCAGCGATCAACATTATATTTCAATATTGATAATTATTTGAATGGCTGATATGTATATGTATGGTCAAATCTTTGATGAAGCGTATCTGACAAGTGGAAAGGTTTAAGATGAACTAATTTATCTGTATTGAAATGAGACGTTATATTATTTGTATTTTTTTTTAAATTCCAATTATTAATAAATCGACACTTACATGCTTTATTTTAAAGTGGAAATTAAATATGTATCGTAATACGAGCATACAATTATTCAAACCATTAGGTGTTTGCATCTTACTATGGAAAGCATTGACTGTCTTATGATTATAAAAATGAACGTTGGTGTGTTTACTCAATATATTGCTATTTGGACATAGCAACGTCCAGGTTTTTAATTATAAGACAGCCAATGCTTTTATATCTTACGGTGTTTTGTTTGGATAATCGTGACATTTCATTTTATCCTTGCCCGCTATGCACACTGCCACATGCAATGTGGTAAAAAACAACAACAAAAAATCACACACAAAAAAAAGGAAAAAAAGAAAGAAAAGAAACACGATGGTACGATATCACGATAGTGATACGCGATGGTTTGAAAATAAGAATACAATTGCACGGTGATGAAAACGCGATGTAATGTCCTACCGTCGCAATTTCACTATCTTACTATCGCGATTTGAACAATGTAACTTCGTGTTTTAACAATCGTACCATCGCGTTTACACCATCATATCATCGCGTTTTCATCATCCTGTCATTGCGTTTTTACGATCGTGCTATCGTATTTTCACCATCGTGCTATTGCAATATCACCATCGTACCACCGCGTTTTCACAATCTTAACATTGCGTTTTCACCATCATACCATCAAAAGTCACCAAACACCGTAGCATCTAAATTTTATTTAGTACAACTTTTATGCAGTTATTATCTACGTTGAAATCCATTACACCATTTTATTGAATGTTATTTATAAAATGTTATTTATAGAATGTTATTTATTTAAGCATCAAACAGTGGCACTTCAATGACGTCAGATAACTATGAGAATCTTGAAAGCTTGCAAGGTATTTGTAAATTAATTGCAATGATATTTTATAGAGTAATGTATAACATTACATATACAAGATATAATTATAATGTAATTAAACTTTAAGGGTTAATTTAGTATCGATGTACAAATTTGTCTATACACAATAGTATCGATAAAGACATAAAGAGTTCATAAAAATGTGCTTTATTTGTGTTTTTTTATAGAATCTGAGCATGAATATGGACGAATACAACCGGGCACTGGACTTAACTGATTAACTAGACTCACGGGTTTACATTCATTGTGATTCATTACCACACTTTCTTAAATGTGACGCAGTGCTTCACTTCATTTCTTGTTCATAATTTGTTTAACACTCTTGTAAATATTGATGTTAAAATCAAAAGGAAAGTTAATTGTCAATTATATATATATATTGTTTATACATCAGCATGTAAAACGTTGCACTATTTAGTATTTGGACGACACTTCACTCAATATTGTGTCATATCCCGTACTTAAAAAACAAGTGTAGTGTTTGTGTGGCACGTCTTGACAATGTATTTTTGTATACTAGTCTCAATATTGCATCAATATCTACATGCACAATGAAGTTGATTTCACCTTTAAGTTATTATTTTTATCTATATTGTTCTAGATCTTTTAAAACAATATAAAATAATAGAAAAATAGAAAAAAAGTTATAATTTTGGGATAGGAATTTCATAGAATATTCACGAGAGATTTTAATGTGTGTAAAACTTTAAACATAAAACATTTACTTATTCAATTAACGTAAAGTCATATTACGTTTCAGTTATATTCAACAAATGACAGTTGCGCTATTGGCAGTTGAATGAATTGTTTCAATTTTTTTTCAATGGTGTTTTTGAATTAGTTCATACAAATTGAGTAACAGTTTAGGGTGTATTAGACTTATGTTACCATAACGATAATTGTACATATGTTTTGATTAAATTGTATAGTTATTCATCTATTTTGTTAACAAAAAACAATGTGTATACCACGCTGTAATTTTTAAGAATTATGTTGTTTATAATAAGTAGATCATCACAAGACAGTTTTTTCATCTGCAAGTAATTAATTGTCCTCGTGTTAGTGAGTGAATCTTTTGTTAGTGAGCTATACAATTTAGTGGTACCCGATAAACACCCTGTTACACTTGACTGCGCGTCAACTGTGTTTACACGGCGTTGTTAAATTTAACAAAGCACCGCGAGACCGCAATAAAATAATGAGGTATTTTTGATGACATGGAAACTTCACACACCGTCTTCACGCCGTCCTCAAGGCGATCATGGCGATGCTGCGGAGCTTTCACGGCGTTTTAAATTTTGATTTCTGCGTTCGGACTTCGATTCTACTGAGTTCTTTGCGCTTACAATGCGCTTTTACGGCGCCAACACGGCGCTATCGCGGCGCTCACACTGTGCTGAAATTGTAAAGCTCCGTAAAGACGCCGTGCACACAAAGTATAAACACGTTAGAGACGTCGCACAATTTCTGAAAAAGCTCCGCGGATAACCACTGCGTTCATTCGGCGTTCGTTTTGCGCTTTCACGGCACTCCTGTTGCGTTGTAGAAGATGCTACTGAGTTGCTACGGCGTCCTTACTGTGACCCAAGTGCGCTCTATTCAGAACACCAAGTGACGGCGTTTGTTTTGAGCATGCTCAAAATGTGCGCCGTCGGTTGGCGTTCAATGCGATGCCACTACGATGTTGTGGCGATGCTACAGCGATATTTGCGATCTAACTGCGCTCACCACGGTGTTCTGAATTTTCTTTGGACGCCCTATTTGGACGATGAGAACGCCGCCCTAGTGTGACAGGGTTTCAACAGACTGATACAACGATGAGCTGGTCACCAAGTCCTCTGAAACCGAGAAGATTATTACCTTTCTAAGAAAGGAATGAGACTGGTATAAAAAAATAATTGGAACAGTTTAAGGGCATTATTATGATGGCTGGATATTAAAGGACATTTTTGGGGAATGTTAAGGGGCTGTATCGGTTATGGCACTTGTCATTATTCTTGTTCCGGCATCTTTTATCATAGCTCAATTTTCAAGACGTTGTATTATAGACTGTTTGTGTATATGTGATGCTAAAACGTGAGTGGAAAACGACTAAGCATCTTAACCCCTAGTTTTCTAGGGGTAATTAGTAGCAAGAGAAAATAATAAAATCTTAATTTAGCCTTTAAAACGCGGCGCTAAAATTCTAATATAAGTTTTTGCGATTGTTTCGACTGAAAACGCTAGCACTCAGAGTCTTTAAAGGCTCGCCGATGTATTTAAAGTCTGTCAAAACCATACTTTCTATAACCGTCCATTTTAAAAATTACATTTTCATACGTGTGTTTTGGCAAATTGATATCACGTTTAAGCTTAATTCTTAAGTTGTTGCTGAACGCAAGGCATTATTTTCATACGTTCATCCACACGACTTTTTCTGCAGGAGGTTCGGCTCTTATTCGAATGAGATGCATCTTGCTTTTATCGAGATATCCGAGTGGTCCGAACGATTCAATCTTTAATTTTGTACTGATATAATAAAACCGCCATTATTTCTATGCATTGTTTCGTATTGTGACTTTTAAGGGTTGACTTTCGTTGTTGACCCCCCCCCCCCCCCCAATCAATCTCCATCCTAAACCCACTTGGGGATAGCGCGGTATCAGTGCAACTCAAACTTATACTGGTAACATACAAAATAAGTGAACTATTTGCCAATTTTAAAACAAAACTATATAGTATCTATAGTATTATAACTTAAATAATTATAATCAATGTGTAGATGATAACATTAGCTTCAGTCACCCAACATGGGAAATTCCCTGACAAGAGAAAGTAGTCCGTTTAAAAAAAAACTACAAAAAAAGAGACAAATAACAAATAGAGTTACACACTATCGCTGTTGTCAATCCCGTTAAGCAAACAACAAGTCACGTGACCTTACAAAGTATTTTTCATTGATGTTCATATGCTTGTTTTAATGGCTTGAGCTTAATAAATTTTATGTCGTTGTTGTTGTTGTAATGAGTTTTGCGATATGAATTAGTTTAAGCACAAAAATTAACAATGGAAATGATTCGCTTATCAAGTTTCATCTTTGTAACGAAAACGTTTTCTACATATTTTACCGTTAATTTCGCATGAATCGATATTTTTGCAGGTACATGATAACGATGTATTATGAGAACTTTTTGCTTTACTTCCGTTTTTAATATTTATGACCATACTTTTTTAAAATATTAAGATCTTAAATATTGCCATTTTTATGATGAATGGAAAAGTTGAAACGAAACAATGTGGATGTTCAATTTGGTATGTAAAATATACTATAATGGATTTAATTTCATTTAATAATAATCACACGAACTTAAATCTAACATAAGTAACTAGGACTATTCGGGCAAGGAAACAAATTAAAGGCGGATGTAAAAATCGTTTCGTTAGAATATATTTTATAACAAAAAAGAACAAAAAAGAGAAGATATATATTTATTTATTTTTGATTTTACCTTACATGACATATAGTGGGATTGTTTGCGTGACTATTCAAGTATATTTTTATTTGCATATACTCTGGATGTCTTTTGATCTCTGTCATCATTTTGATGCAATTAACATTTGTACAATGTTTAATACAAATGAAATCTATTGTCATTGTTATAGTCGCTTAGTTTTTTTTAGAACATTAATTATAATATATAAATATATTTCCCTGGTGTTTGTGAGCGTGCCTTGGTTTTCGCGAAGTTATATATCAACCCATGTCTAATATCAAAATGTATGCACATTATGTCAAAATAAATCTTTATTCTGATCTTACTAGTATCCTAAAAGTTGCTGAACAATATTTTAAATTGGATTTGATCTTCTTTGCAGAAATCAAACGCATCAATGTCAATTATCATAGTTAAAAATAAATTTTAAAGATCACCGATCGAACCGGTCTACTTACATTTATTTTACCTGTGTCTTGAAATGATATCTAAACTATTTTTTATATTAATGTTTGTTAAAGAAATAATATCGTTCTGTGCGGTGTTTATCGGCTATGTTTCAGCCGTATGGATTTTTGATGGGAATGAATTGACCTCGAAGGCCGTAGGCTAACCGGTGTTAAAATTCGATAAACACCGCTAAGACTAATATTATTTCAATTCTTACTGATTTGCATAAACTATGTGGCGTTAGTGTATATAAGATATGTTTAAGTATCGTATGAAACTAAAGCGTAATAAGGACGGAAATATCAATAAAAACATAAGTGTTGCCTTAAAAGGCCTTGTTTCTTGACCTTATCCGAGAGAGAACATGCATGAAATTGAACAACTGCATATACATGTAGTCTCTTACTAGTGTTTATTGCCAGTTAAACACCTCTTTTTCTTCTTCTTTGTGAAGTGTAAAGTGACAAAAAGAGGCATGTCAAAATAAAGGACAAACACGAATCGTATTTATTACTGAGCTTGTGTGCACAATATCATATGATTTATTTTCATATGATACTTAAACAATATCTTATATACACTAACGCCACATATTTGGTGACTTTATTTAGATATTGTGGACAGAAGCTCAGTAATAATATGATTACAGATTTATAGACACTCTCATAAGATATTTTTGAAATCGTTTAACGTGATACATCAGTTTTTATATATGCGTCTTTTTCCCGCGCTTCAAAATTGTTATTTTTTACTTATTCGCCATTAAAACGAATTATTTTTCTTCTTTTTTTCCTGGTGTATGCTGTATAAATTACACCATAGTGAGAAAATGTTAACAGTTTTGTTCGCTCCATGCGCTTCTGAAAATAATCAAGTATTGTATTTTTCCCTCATTTTTTTCAGTGTGATTTGTAGCAAAAGTACCTAAAATAAACAAATATATTTTATTAATATATCAGTAAAATTAAATTCATATCGCTCATTGTACATCAGTTATACTTCAATCGATATAGATTTGATGATCTTCCTTCGGTGTGCTTGCTAATTTTATGACTTCATAAAATAGTTATTACGTTCTGCCCTATATGTCGTTAAACGTTACTCCACATTTCCGGCTATAAATTTGGTTAACATTTGTTTGTTTAACGTTTGCATAGCAGTTGAGCGTCTTGTGACATCTTTGTTATGTGCCTCTGTTACTCGAAAATTCGTTTTAATCTACAATATTTAAAGTATTGTAATGTCTTCCCCTTTCAATGTTATTTATAGCACACTCACAAAACCAACAAACACCCTCTATTTATTACTGTAATATCCTCTTATAAAGTCATAAAATCATAACATAATAGCCTGAAGACGTCCATTCTTTAAAGCAGTAAAGCATAACGGACTTTATTTGTAGTCGGTTTCCCAAAGAGATTATAGTTTAAAGCTTACCATTCCTTTATGTTAAGGCTTATAACTAAATAAATTAACGCATTGATTGATATTCTAAACACTTCTTCTTTCAATTCGTTATATTTCTATTTAATTCACTTCTCATTGTTTATAACGACATATAAAAGGACAATTTTTGGCTTTAAAAAAAAGAAGAAAAACAAAATTTCGTTACAAATGCTAAATGTAAATGTAAATAAAAAAATGAATGGGGAAGTTAAATCTCAAAAAATGTTTGTTATTTTTTAAATAATGTCCTTATTTTTCAAAAAAACCTTTTTGAAATTTCATTAAAGCGGAAATGTATGTTACGGTTCAGAACTGTTCACTATTAAGGGAAAAATGTGCACGAGCAAACTAGCTCAGCCGGTAATTTATAAAGCCACGAAACAATATATTCTCATGGTCTTGGGTTCAAACCCCGGTCAGGCTGAACATTGTTCTCATCGAGTTACATTTGGCGCATAACATAAGTCCGTAACTATATAAAGCTCAAAGATTAATTCCACACCTCTGTATCCTTAAATAGCAATATAACGGGTATAAAGTATGTGTTCACTATGTAGAGGAAAGAATGGTTCAGCGGCCGAATAGCTCATTTTTTGTAAACATCCCGTCGGCTCAAAGGTAAAATATGTTTTTATTCTAAGAAATCGTTAGATTATCAAAAAAGACGTAGCGCACCAAATATTTGCTTTAGTACTTGACTTTATTTTAAATAACGTTGAAAGTTTTACTGCCTAGTTTAGTCCTGAAAGCGGGATAATTTCCCCCTTAATGCTCCCACTCGGACTCACAAACAGTTTGTATCCCGTTTTCAGGCTTAAACCAAATAGTAAAACTTTAAACGATTTTTTTTAATATATCAAGTACTAAAGCCATTCTTTGGTGCGCTACATTATTTTTTGATATTCTAACGATTTCTTAGAATAAAAAAAAATATCTTCGTGTCGAAAAGTAAGCAGGGCCTACCATTGTATTCTTAATGCATAATGTTTATTGTACAACGCTAACCGATTACTCAGTTGAAGATCCTGTATGTTTTGTGTTTGATATTGTTTCTGTGTGTATACCACACGTGCAAAAAATTATATATGTATATAATTATGCAAAAAAAACAATTTTCAAACATCGAAGAATATGTAAAATGTGTACTGTAAATATTTGTGAAATTATATTTAATCAATTACATGCATTCATTTCTTATTGGAAAATTTGACTCAGAATTTATAGAAAATAAATTTCTAATTAACTCCCTTTGTTTACATGAAATGTTAAATTGGGTAATATCATTATACATAATGCTAATTGGAACTTACAATATTGGCAAATTTTAATTTGGGCATCATATTTATGAAATAAAACCATGAAAAAATTGTGTTACAGGATCTTTAAGAAAGTAGCTTTGACACGTTACACATTAACCGACTATATTAAAGAAACTTTGTCTTAATTCTAAACATTGACAATGCATAATGTTTTAATACCATTTTACTACACTTTAAGTACTCTACAAAAACTAATGATCTTTATAAAAATAAAGGGAGATCACACTGAAAACTGACATAGGTATCTGTGTAACCTTCATCACAATACTAACCAATTCAAAGGATAAGCTGAAAGGTCGTATCCGACATTGGTTAGTTTGAAGAAATTAAAAAATTTATTCTTTCAGATTTTACATGCAATATGTATGTCTCAACTGATTTACGATTCGTCAGGAGGTAGGAATTAGACTTCAAAAACTTTTGACATTCGTTTCATGTAATTACAGAATCAAATATGTGAAAGTCGTTTAAGCTATGCCTTAATATTAAGAAATGCATTAATATTGGTCAAAACAAAAACAACAAAAACAATAAAATACAAATGGTACTTGATAAAAATGAAACGTATCTATGTCTTAATTTCAACACTTATAAGAATTAAAATTTATTTAAATATCTACTTTTTGCTAAATAAAAAATGTTTATGATGTTATCCACATTTTAGACCATTCTTAATCAGACTGTAACATTATTTCATCTCGTATATAAGAAAATAATTTGATCATTTTCATGAAGTTGACCTTATGTATAGAAAAAACAACAACAAGTAAGTTAATATTTACAGAGATTGATGAACATTGTGAAGTAGATTGTGCATGCTGTATAGATAGAAAATGTGGACAAGGAAGTCATTATCCTAACGAATGTACTCTTGGTTGTATTGATGGTTATACAGGTGCACGATGTTATGGAAAATGTACATACAACTGCACACGATGCGAATATTATGCTAAAGATATTTGCATTGCATGCTATGACGGATATTACCCTGGACCTGCTCGGAACTGTACATCAAAATGTTTACCTGGATGTAAAGCATGCACGTCAGGAACCACGTGCACATCATGTAAGGAGGGATATTACAATACCAGCAATTTATGTAATAGTCTATGTCCAAGTAACTGTATCACGTGTTCGTCGAATACCAGTTGTATGTCGTGCAAGGATGGTTATTATAACGGTAACCAGAAAGACAACATTGACCTCCCTTTGTTGAACGACTGTACGTACAAATGTCGAGAAAACTGTGTGGGATGTTCGTCCTATAACAGTTGCTTGGTTTGTAACACTGGTCTTTATGGACCAATCTGTGCGGGAAATTGTTCAGTTGGTTGTAGCGCGGACACTTGCGATATACGAACCGGAAACTGTGCATGCTTTCCTAATTTTACTGGGGAAAGATGTGATAAATGCAAAACCGGTAAGTACGGAAAATATTGCGATCAACAATGCCCCAGGACATGTAAAAATAACGTGTGTGAAAAAGATTCCGGAGTTTGTACAGACGGTTGCATTATAGACACGATCATTGGTGACAAATGTGATGTTTGTTCAACAGGCTGGTATGGGAAACACTGTAACCTATCTTGTTCAGACGCCAAATGTGTAACAGGTTGCGAAATTAAAGAACAAGATGACCACATTTGTCGTTCCGTCTCAGGTAGGACATACATATACTATATAGTCTATCGTGCATCAACTGTACACAGTTGCAGCTTTGTATTTAATGTTTAATGTTCTTTTGGTTGAGGAAATTACACATGCTATCATAAAATTGATTTATTAAATGTTAAAGTGTATATATCTATGTATCTGCTGCAAACTTATTAAATGAATATTAAAAAGAATACTTCCAAATGTGAAAGTACGTTTTACTATTAGCGAATGGCTCATGCACAAAATCATTTCTAAACAGTCAAGACCCTACTTTAAATTACACCATGATATTTTTTTCGGAACTGTTTTTAATTATTTTTTACGAATGATATTCATGTTTGTAAAATAACTGAGAATCTGATATTGCATGTTACAACTCTGGAGAATCGACCATTAGATTATGGAAACAATATAATTTTATGTTAACTAAAATTTATAAAAAAAACCACATTTCTTTAAGTAAAGCTTTACACCCTTTAATATAATAAGTGCAATACAATTCAACAATGAACTTCAACAGAGATAATCCATATGCCGGCCTGACTAAAGTTTAGATGATCTACTTATGTAGATCTGATGACGACCGTATATTTTTCGCCTTCTTTATAATTCGGCCAAGCAATAAAACCGTTTTTTTTTTCATAGGCATTAAAAGAAGTATCAAAATACCGTTATCCGTGGAAGTTAATCAAATTGTTGTTTTTTTGTTATAAAAAAATGTTTGATGTTATTGTTATAAAAACAAATTAATTTGAAAGAATAGATTCAATTTTTAATTGGCAAGATTGTTTTGCCAGTTCACCTGTCCGCTTTATGGACAACGCCATGTTTGTTCTCGAAATTGTGAAAATTACCTACTCAGTATTGGTTTTCCCAGGGTTAAAATTAGAAACCACATTGCTTTCAAACTTATGAAAGCTCACCGATGATTGGCTGTGTGAAAGCTCACCAGAAATGATTTCGTATATGGTCACGGTCAGATCTAAAAAGCGGGGCGTTATTTAGAGCTGATTTTAATCAGATTGTTCATATGCAAGTATGAAACCCTACATCTGTTAGTACAAAATATTTGTTTAAATTTAAAACTGCACATTAAAAACTTTCTTTCTTACCTACTCCCACTTATAAATAATAATTCAATACGATTGCATATCAGTTTTTTTTTCACTTTTTTTTCGTTTATTTTAGCGTTGTAGGGTATATATGAACCATCGGGTATTTTGGACCGCACCTCATTATAATGTTTAGAAGTATAATTCCATTAAGTTATTCAATTAGAAATGACAATCAATCGTCCTTTTTCAGCTGGCTTCCACCTAGTGCCTGTACATTAAGTGAATATTATTATTTTCTGCATGATGTGAAATTTAGGAGAATCATGCCACTGTTTTACAATTAGCTTAAGAAAAAATAGCCAATACTTAAATTCATAAAACCTGTTTATGATATATTTTGCAGAAGTAAACTATAAGTTAAGGATGAAAAAAAAATCCCCTTATCAACAATTGAGCATATTTTATTTGTTAATACTACTTGTTTCATCAAAAAATGTGGTTCCAAAACTCCCGACAACATTTTATTGATGTAGGGTGTTTTGGGACACGTTGATATCAAATGTTTATTATGTTATTAGATATTATAGAAACATATCATTAACTCAGTGAAGTTGTGTTTGTATGTCAGATTTGTTTGTTAAAAAACAAAGCAAAAAACATCTTGAAACAATTATAGAAAGGGTAGAGAAAATGAGGATAAAACATAATGACTCAGACTTAAAGTGGAAAAAAAATGAAAAGGGAACCTGACTCCTTAGAGATTCCGACATATCAGTTTGTTGTGATGACAATGATCTTGCAGATATGGATACTAGCATTACACTTAAATATGCTACTCATGCAACATTCCTTTTCTTAAAGTGCTATATAATATACTTGTACCAGCACGTTTAAAGCATAGCACAATCTATGGTATCATAGAACAATATAAAGACAAGGAAACGAGGAATTGCCGATTTGACGTTTATTGTCCAAGAATAGCGCTAATTAATGCACCTTTTTCATGCATTAACATCTGCAGAAGCCCTCAGAAATTTTAAATCCCTCACTGTGCTGTCTCGGGCTTTGATTGTGTCTTCATGCTTCTGAAGATGTTATTGCATACAGAAAGGGGCATTAACCCTCTTATAGTACTTAATCGAAATGAACAAATAAATTAGACCATTTGACTTCACATACTCTATAGATCTATAGAGAATCATAAAATAGTATTTTATTTGATTAAGACTTGTTATTTAAATTTTTAAAAGAAATTTTCAATCAAATTTAACCTTGCAAAATAAGATTTACTGCTCTATCTTTTACACTAAAATTAAAGTGTCCCAAAATGCCCTTCTTTCTGTCCATAAATACCCGACGTGTTCCAAAACTGCCGCCTCTTGCTCTTCTGTTTAACAAGATATATCGCGTTTGTTTTGCATATGCTTATGATAGTGGCCCATTATAGACGATAGTCGTACAAAGCTTATCCTAAGTATCAAATGCCAATACTGAAACAAGCATATTTAAAATCTTTGACTTTCTTTTCAATCCTGTATTATATCATGTTGATGCACATACTCGTTTACAAATGTTTAAACTATATGAAATCAATACTGTTAAAACCTACAATTCCCATCGGACAAGTAAACCTCTAAGAACTTCAGCTTGTTAAACGTTAAAATATGGAACATGTTGTTAATTTATTTTCTAAACATTTAAATTTTCTAACAATATTATACGCATATCATTGGTTTCAGATCAGCAAATTAATATGGTTGCTATAGTGTTTGGAACTCTTTTTGCTGTGTCATTTGTGGGTAACATCATATTAGTGGCCTATTTGATTCTCCGAAAATGTCAACAAAGGTAAAAATGTTTATTTGTCCATTATAAAAAATGAACATGTCACACTTTTATCAGGCTTTTCAAAACTGACAAACATAATACCAATATTCATAATCCAACAATAAATGTAACAAGTTTAAAAGTGAAATTCTATACAAACATAGTTTAAATACTTGTATGATGTTTATGTAAAAGATAGCACTGTTGCATAAAACGAGATAAAAAAATCGTTACGAGTTTTGCAATAATATTGTAAAGAACTTGTAAGTTTCGACATTGATAAATACAAGATCAAATATGTATATCACAGTGTTTTTAGCAAAACTTCAACTTTTGTTGATAATGAAAATATGCTGATATTTAATGAAAACCATTATATATTATATATTTTGCAATGATAAATAGATAATTTTAAGAGTTTGTTTGTTTTGAGTTTTACGTCACATCGACACAGTATAGGTCATATAGTGACGTTCCAGCTTTACTGTTGGATGAAGACCTCAGGTGCCTTCCGTGCATTATTTCAGGCACGAACGGGCACCTGAGTAGAACTACCGACGTTCCGTAAGCTAGCTGGATAGCTTTTTCACATGAAAGAGTGCAAAGTCCCTGTCGGGGTTCGAACCCACAGCGGTGAGGGGCAAGTGGTTTGAAGTCAACGACCTTAACCACTCGGCCACGGACGGACGCGTTTAAGAGTGGACATTGATGTAAAATCATATATACAAATTTAATTAAAAAAAATAATCGCTGCATGTCAATTCTTATATATAAAGATGAACGATGGAATATTTAGAGAATAATATTTATATCAACTATGATAGATTAACAATTTATTGCAAAACTCGTTTTTATTGCAACACTTGTGAAAAATGCAACAAAATCATGTTATTGCAACGAGTTTTGCAACACCTTATTGCAGAACTTGTTTTATTGCAAAACCAGTTGTAACGCAAATAATTAAGAACTTTTACTATTTACGATATATATACATTGTCGTGCTCTCAGTAAGTTTTATTAAACGATGTAAAAAAGAAACAAATTCTTGATATTATGACAAATAAGTTTGAATCTGTTGTCTTTGAGCTGCAGTTTTGAGTATCAAAGGCATTTTCCTTGGCAACATGTCGAATGATTTTAATAGAATAAGCCAGTCATGTCAACTTTTTTTAAACAGGGTCAACGCCAAGACGGGAGAAGAAATTTATGAAAACGCTGGTATGTTGTTGTTGTTGTTTTCTTTTGTTGTTTTTTTGTCAGATAATAATTTTATTCTTTTCATTTATGTATTTAGTAATCTTCAAGTTTAGCTTCTTAACACTATTTTATGGCTCACCCCTAGAAGTTTTTTTTGTTCTAACCACTCATTTTCAATACTTATTAGTGTGTTTGTTTGTTTGTTTCATTTTACGCCTTTTCCCAACAGTATTTCAGTCATAAAGGCGGGTAGTGTCCTTACCATTGTTCCTGGAGAGTTACACCAGTACTAGACTACATTCCTCCGTGCTAAACTTATTAGTGTGAATGAAATGTTATCGACATATTCCAAATATTTTCAGGGGTCGAACTAGAATGTGGAAATATAGCAAATGTTGAGGGCAATAGAACTGCACAAGGTATATTGTATTTCTTTCCTAGTGTGTAATTAACTATTTTAGATGACTTCCCCCATTTATTTAAACTTATACCGAACATTTTTACACCTTTAAAAGGTCTTGAATGTCATATAGAAGAATTTGATAATAATTTAGTATTGATTGTAAACTTTTATTTTGTTCTAACTGCTAAAATGAAAATGTCTTCCAAATCATTGGTTAAGTTAACTTTTATGCCATCATCTGAAAAATAGCAAAGGTAGAAAATATAGCTATGATAATAATGAAATGCAACGGTTTTTCCATAATATCAGGTTATATGTTAATAGGTATTGACCAGTTCTAAGTTGTAACAAAGGAAATTTACATCATGTAGGACTATTGTAATATATTGTCTGATTAAAGTTGAAAGTGTATGTATACAGATATGTAATTGTATAGTAATACCTATTGTATACTCATTATATATAGAATAGTGAACAGGTCTATATGGGCTCATTTTCAATATATATTACAAATAATAATAATAATAATAATAAGAATAATAATAATAAAGAATTTATGAGTTTGATATTCTTATAAAATGCTGCTTGAAGGAAATGTTGATACAATTCTAATTGATGACATTTGTTGATGAATCATAATTTCTGGAACACAGTTTTTTGCTATGTAAATATATGTAGAATATCAGGCCAAAGTATCTTATCACTTGGATTTTTTTCATGGTTTTTATTAATATGTTCAAACACAACACCATAATTTACTGTTTTTACAGACCTTTCCCTTTTGGACCAATTTACCCTTTTAAAGGGGGGGTTTATGTAATTTTAAAACAGGGAAAACACATATTTTAAATAGGTATATTTTTTTAGCTTTCCAAAAAAACGATACGTTTGGTCTTTCATATGGACTATGTAGATCTTGAAAGCCTTCAAGGTATGTGCAATTTAATTGATATCATAGTTCCATAATGTATATGCATATACATGCTTATTTTGCACGGATATACATTATATATAAATGACTGTAAACAATGATGAATGTTATATAGAATTCTCTTACAATGTTAAATTGGCATGATGATAAAATGCTTTTGTGAATATTTAATGTTGGTTTTCCTTATTTGTATTTTCAGTATCAGAGCATGAATATGGATTAATTCTACCAGATGCTTGAGTTCAATGATGGCTTTATTATCCATACCTCAACAAAGATAATATCTATCAACATCTAAGTAAAAACTTACATTTTTCTTATTAACATGATATCAAATGTAAGATAAATGGTATGATACCAGCCATCATGAATATTACAGTGCCTTTTAACTCAAACCGTGCATTCTTCTGCAACAACGCAATCACGCTCGATACATATTTTCTTTTAAAAAATACTGATAGTAAAAGAAATTTAAAAAATATATAATTTTCTGACTGCACTTGATGTATAAGCAAGAAAATTTGTAGTCAATTACAAAATTACTTATACTGACTTGTGTAATACATCATATTTGTATATAATATGCATTGCTTTTTTCCTTATTTTTTCCCTTTTTTCGTACATATGTAACTTATAACATATTTCACTTTCTAAAAGTTTTCCGTTTCATATTAAAATGTATGTTAATTTTACTTTAAAATAAATATACATTTAAAAGCTAAATTATTTATTTTTCTTTGAGGAGGTCAGACAAATAATTAATATGTCCACATATGTAATTTGCAGCTGAGCGCATTTATTTTCTATAGATTGGTCATGATATAACTTGTATACAGTGAATGGTATACTGATATATATTTCTATTGTTTTAAATGTAAGTCTGTTAAGACAACGATGTAGTTCTGCCATTAGAATTAAGAGATAATCTTAAACAAGGTATGAAACAATTTACCAAAAAAAGATGTAAAGAAATTTTAACGAGCATCGAAAAAGTCTTGAAGAATAACACGCTACTGACCGATGTGTTTATTTGCGATTTACAAATGATATGTGAACGTATAATTGATAATAAATTCAATATTGTCAGCACAACAATGACTATATTTTACATTATACATAGCAAGAGGAAAATACTACTGAACTCGACTGTCAGTTTGTCCCACCACAGTGAGCTAGTGCTCTTAATGGAAAACACATTCAGTTATTTCGCTTTGTTCCGCTTAACATCATACCTTCTTTAACATAGCCCCCTCTAATGATTAATTGTTAACGGATCTGCGTTAAAATTATAAATAGTATAAGGAAAATTCATTTTCGAGAGATATACAAATACTTTTAAGATTTCATTATGATGTAATCGAACTTAAGACTTTATACTAGCATCGGCATGAAGATACGTACAAGTAAATAAAGCTAGGATAAGAACGAAAACAAATGCTAGACAGTAAGCTGTGTTAAACGGACTATAACTTCAAACAATAACTTTGGAACGCACTTTTATGCCATGATAATTACTGCAAAATGAGAGAGTATATCAAGACTTTGAGTAAAAACATGACATTGATTTTGACTTAAGGGCAAATTACGCCTTAATAAGAAGGCCATGATGACTCTAATATTGCTCACCTGAATATAAATACTCTCTATGTCAAGGAACAAGTAATATTGTAAACTTTATAAACAAAAGTAGCTATAAAATCTAAATCTTAAATGATATCACAAAGTTCATATTTGTATCTGAGTAAAATCATAACTGGTTTCTATTGCTGAGGGAGAACAACAATTCCATATGATGCCACTGGTTGCTATACAAAAAATGCTATGAAATGCAATGGTAGATTCACTCGTTGCTATGGAAAGTTTGTTTACTATGGAAGTCACTGGCTGCTATAAACATTTACAGTTTGATATGAAAGGTCAATGACTGTTTGGAAACCACTGGTTGCTATCGACACTAAGTTTTAGCTCTTGTAGATTCAGAGAGTTTTTACGCTACACATATGAGGAAATACCAGAAATATCAAATGGCTATAATTGGAACATTTTTGTCGAGGTCCACCGGACAATGTCTCATACCATTATCTAAGCTAAAGCCTCTATAGTACAATAAGAGAATTTTTTCTATACACATATAGGGAAATCTATGACCCTCAGGAGCGGGGCAAATTTTGACAAAGAGTTATAATTTGAACAATATTTGAAGAGGTCCATCATAAAATGTATCATACCAACCATCTAAACCAAAGCCTCTAAAGTATAATAGAGGAAGAGTTCAACGGGATCAATTCAATTTGATTTAGATTTTCCTGATATATTTATTGTTGTTATTTGTAACTGAAAATCTGATTAAAATTGAACTCAGCCACCACAAGAGACTCCTGTCAATTTCTAATAATGTAACCCTAACCTGTTCGTCTTTGATTTCAGTTTCAATACCTAGTCATCACGGTTGCCACTAGATGATATAGAAATATTAAAGGTCATCATTTTGTTCAAAATCGTAATCACTTTTCTTGTACATGTACACAGTCACAAAATGGGAAATTTCTATAATTACGTTCAAATCAAATATATTGCCCATTTTTTTTATCAATGAACAATGTGATGAAGACCGCAATTTTGCTATACACTTTTAATATTTTAATATTCAAACAAAAACATATTTTGCAGGTAAATAATCTTTTTAAAATGAATATAATCCATCAATTTAACATTTTAATGAATATTTTGATATCTAATTTTGAATATAATGGTCTTCCATCTATTGACATATACTGATAAAATAAAATTGGCTGCCCACACATTGCATCTCCCAAATATATCCAAAACCATTTTGATTCTAATTACAGTCATCAAATTTTTATGACCAACATTATCAAAATATCTTAACATATCATAACAAATTTTAAGATATCTACTATTAATAATGCGCAGCCAATATTTGACAATACGTTTATAACATATACATAGGGTATCAACCAAAATCTCCAAGAACTGAATCAATCTTTTCCTTTCACATAAAATCAAGCATATTTATGCATATCTTCACTACATGATATGTTACCTGTTCCCCATGTTTCGCAGCCATATTATAATACTGGGCAAATAATTTTAAAATGTGTTTAGTAGGGTAGATTATTTTAAGAGCTGACATATATGATTAAAACTTTTTTTTAGCCTTTATCGCCTTGTCCTCTGCTTTTTTGTTTAGACATTTAAGCGATTAGTAAAATACAAACCAACATATGAGAACCCATAAACTATATCAACATTTATTTTATCAGAAACCCAAGATTCTCTAGCAGCTATTCTACCGCCTCGTTTGAAAATAACGATTTAATTTTTCAACATTTACATATGTCTTAAAATCAGTACAAAATTCATAAAGTAAATTCAACTGTTTTTTGCAGACCAACTACAGTGTCTGGTATCAAAGCTTCATCATCAGCAAAAAGAAGCATAAATATTTCAGTTATATCAGGGAATAACTGTATCCCTCTAACATTATTAAAAACTGTATGAAGCTCATCTATAAATAGACAGAACAGGACGGGGCTTACGCCAACCCTTGTCTGAGTCTTAAGGGGGCATTTAAAAATATCAATACGACCATTTTGTGTTCTGACACAGGGCTTAACAGAACGATACACTGAAATAATTGATCGATAGGCTTGATATTATTTTGAGGAAAATAAAAAGAAAAAACAATGTCCAATGTATCATGCTTAACATAATCAAAAGCTTTCTGAAAGTCAATAAAAGCAACAAATATAGGTTTCTTTTTATGATTCAAATATTCATTTCTAATTGATGATAAAGTTATCTATTGTTGAGTATCCAGATCTAAATCCTACCTGTGTTTCTGTTAAAAGTTCAAATGCTTCAACATAAAATGTAACACGTCAATTGATAATGAATAGATACAGTTTACTTATAGTCAGGCAACACCTCTGTAGTTGCTGGGAGAATTTTCGATCCCATTTTGTATGCAGGAATAATGATAGGCCAAGTCCATTTTCCTGGTTATTTTTCTGCTTTAAATAACTAATTTAAAATTCAACAAGAAGGAAGCAATGCGTTTTTTCTATGTTCAAAATGTTCAAGAATCAATATACCACCTGTTGCCTTAGTAACATAAATGTTTTGAACAGCATATAATATTTTTCATCAGTGGTTATTTCAGAATTAAATGAAGAATACTCTACATCACTGATATCAATCACATACTTATCATTTGAGTCATGATACTGTGTACTTGCATATGGAGCTGCAAACAAAGTACTAAAAATGATCGTACTACTCTATTAAAGAATTGCTTGGGACCGTTTTACGTTGGCCATTACAACGGCTGAAATTTCTCAAAAACATTTCAACATCATAAACTGAGCGATCAAATTGTGTTAAGCATTTTGTATTATATAGAATAATTTTTGTTTAACACATATTTTTTAAAACAGATTTTGAGTCTAAATAGTTATTTAAATTAGTATTTCTTCATTCTTAATTTCGCCTTTAAACAGTCTCTTAAAGATCGTTCAGCACGTCATTATTGTTGTGTTTGTTGCAAATTATGTCTTTTTTAGGCTATTTTCTTGTTGGTGGTATTTAAATACTGTTTAGGATATGTAACCGTCTTTTGAGGTCATATCTGTGATATGCAGGCTTCATAACCTTTGATCCCCTTTCAAAATTTTATTTTATTTAGTTCTGTCCATTGTTTTCTCGTGTAGGGCACACGCATATTTTTACTTGGGGACCATATGCCGCTTTTTATGGAATGGCACTTACGTAACACATTGAAGGTTCCATGATAACCGCCATATGGACACACCTGCGGATGTTTAAAAATTCAAAATTGTACCAGTTTATGTTAAATGTTAAATTCTGCTTAAGGCGGTGCTCAGGGGCGTGGACGGTAGTTTGCACTTGACAGTACCGTCCATGAACAGGCTCAATCAAACCGAACCTGCAATATTTTTAATTTTTCCGGTATGCACACGAGGGCCGTTTGGTTAATGATACATTTATTGCTTTGCTAGGTTATTCACAAAAAAACATGGATTTTAATGTTTTGCGGCTATCGACATAGTTGCTTTCCGAAATGAACCTGATGTCAATACGTAACCTAAATATAAAATTTCAATAATTTAGGTGTCATTTTCCAACATTTTCTTCATTTTTTTAACCTTACAAAGGAGTCAAAACGTACATCTTAACAGTCGGCAAGACGGCGAATATGAAAATATTGTATGATTGGTTTGTTTAAACTCTTCATGGTCAATGCACTTGGGTAAATATAAGCTATAATGCACTCCTCTAGCACCGGCTGGTGGAGAAAGTTTAGCATTACAATATAGAAACAATGAAATCTAGAAGCATCCACAGATTCCATACGACGGTTATCTTGGAATGTCCAGTATGAAACTTTCCTGCCATTCCGTGAGCAGCGACGGTTGCCTTGGAATGTCCAGTATGAAACTTTCCCGCCATTCCGTGAGCATCGACAGTTATCTTGAAATGTCCAAGAAGGTTTAATTAATTAATTTAGAACAAAATTTAGACTATGTTCATCTAAATATATCGACAATTTGAACAAAGACAATAAAATTCATTTTACATTTATTAATCAATCATATGCCCTCTATCTGCAATTCACGTATAAATGCTAAACATAACATTAGAATTTGACACCGAATAGGACACAGAACAGGGACGAGGTCACAAAAAGGCGAAAAAGTAGCGATTATTTAAGCACTACATGTATAACATCTATTCGTCGGCATTAGTTTCTAGGTTCATATTTCCATTCAAGTTGGTTTCTTTCTTTCTTTTTTATTATTTATTTCATTTTGTTATAATTCACAATTTATCAACAGTTTTTTTATATAAATTTTACTGTAACCTAGAGAAAGGTTCAAATGAATATGTTGGCAAATAATCGTGCCTGAATCGTAAAATTCAAAGTTGATGTGAATGAGAATATATCAGCTATTCAAGAAAATCCGTTGAAATGGGCGGAGCTTATTTAAAATATCAGGCTACTAATCTGATATCATAAATTTATAATTTTTACAAGACCACAAATCTATAAATAGACTGAGGGTCTACAATACAGCATTGGATGTCTCATGGCATTGTATAGTGACCGATCAGTCAACCCGGACCGTAACCAAAGGCAAAAGATGGATATATATGAGAAAATGTAATTTGATACAGATTGACTTTAACCTGTTATCACTAAAGCCGATATGATCGTGAACGAAATAATAAATATAAACATGCATCATTTAGGGGTGTTAAAATGATCTTTGAAAACACAAAAAAATAAAAATTAAATATCATCAGGTACTTAAATTCAGTCAAAATGATTATCGATATTTTTCACGTTCAATTCTATTTACAAATAAATTATTTTTATCGTAGCTAAATTTTGCAATATTATCATTTGACTATTTTCATACTTTTTTCAAGCATTTTATGCTTAAATTCTTCTTGGCGTATACACCAGAAAGTGAGCGATAGTGAAACCGATTCGCAGGTGAGTAATTATAGAGGATATTTGTTTGTTTGTCGTGTAAGGTGAAATTCTATTTCATCAAGTTAGCTTTAAACAACAGTATTCACATCAAGTTATTAAATTAAATTTCCTCATTATTGACTTAACATCAAAATCTGTTTTCCCCACATGCCAGCCTCAATTTCAGGCGAATTTCTCATATTTTTTAAAGAAAAATAAGTTTAAAAGTCCACGTTAAACGATGATATTATTTATTTTAAACAGTCAATAGTAATGTTTGCTTCTTTTAATAGTTGAGACAAACCATTCTAGAAGTAAAAATGTGACACTGAACTTATTTCCGCGAAATGACGGGAGTAGATAATAGGCTATCTTGAGTCATATTAGCGACCGTCATTATTTTAATTTGTTTAATTCACTCGAGAAAGATTAAAATGTGTTTGATAAGAAGGACTTTCGTTTGGATTTGATAATTTTACATCTATTCACAAGGGAGAAAAAACATACTCGAGGATTGTTACAGTCAATATGTAATTGTTGACAGATGTTTATACATTCAAGAAGCGACTAAGAATTTAAAAAAACAAAAAAAAAAACCAAAAAAAAACATGGATTTTTCTAGCAGATTTGCATATGGATGGTACGAAATTATCAGACTGTTACGAATGAAATAAAAGATAAAGACGATAAAGAGACGATATTTGGTGATTTTGTCTTTTTTTGAACGTTTAAAATTTTATGGTTATCTTTTTTTTTTTATCAATTTCAGCTTTACTTTGCTCTTAATTTATAACAGGCCTGATTATATCGAAATTGTAAGGGAACAATTACGGTGAGGAACCACATGGGGAACATCTTTAAAAAGTTGTTTCTTCTTTGAAAAGTATGAAATTATAGTTTGATAATTTTCATTGTAAAATTGTCAAAAATTATTAAAACTTTAATGGATAAATCAGTAATCCACTCAAAAGCATAAAATAAAAAATGATATTGAAGGTTATTTAAAAAATTATATCAAAATACAAATAGTAAAAAGTATTTGTTTTACAAGCAATTCAATGAGTTAGATGACATTCAAAAGGCTTTATCTTTCGAACAATTAAACATCAAATCTATCTGTATAATTCTTGTACTTCAAACTTTGAGATAAGATGATAAACATGACTGCTGTCTAATGCAATAGCACTGTAATTAGAATAATTCAAACGAAAAGATATGGTATTATAAAAGCAGCAAATAACTTTAGTATATATAGAATGCTTTATGCGCTTTTAATTTAATTTTCAATCTATGTTTTAAAAACGTTTGTCATTTTCATCCAAAAAGAATGGTGACGGAATTAAAAAACCTACTTAAAGTGGCAATATGTATGATGTTCTTTGCATGGATTGTAACAGGTTCCGAAATGTCGACGTCTAAAGTTGTTTCGGATGAAGGTACGGCATGTTAAAAACATGATTTGATTTTGTCGTGTACTTGAAAGCTAATGTGCATGTACTTTTGAACGCAACAAATATTGATAAAAGATTTTCTGTGATTTTAACCACATAATATTAATTAATTTGGTATTTTGCTTTTGTTTTCAAATTATTAGTTTTCAAAGAAAATCATTCTGATATAATAGTTCACAAGACTTCGTCTAACTTCGTCAGTTTCCGTATTAAACAACCATTTTAAAATGAGGTGATGTAAAAACCGATTAAGTCTTAATGTGATATAAATTTTATTTCTCTATATTTTGATGTTAGTGTTTCGTTTACAAAAAGCTATCTAGCTGAAACATCTTTCTTTTTTATGTTGGCAATTAGTAAAGTTATAGTGATTAAATACACAAACATGTGGAAGTCAAAATACCACCTTCATTACATTTCGCTATATTAAGGACAATTTATTTAACATTCAGCGATATTTTGTCAGATGATAAGCTTCTCACATGTTTTCAATCAATTATAACATTGCTATATAATACAAAATAATTTTTTTGTCTACAGTATAAAAAACGTATTCATTTCAAAGGCGCAAGGGGAGCGGTGACCTAGTGGTTAAGGTGTCTGCCTCTCAACCCAGAAATCATGGGTTCGAGCCCTACTCTGATCACGATCATGTTTCTTCATATGACACCAGTACTGGTTAACCAGGTTCCAGGAAGCGGACTCGAAAGTGATTAATATAAGTTGCAAGAACGTGTTTCGCAATCGAGCTTAAATAAATATGTTTAAAGGGCCTAATATTCCTTAACCAACAAGTTTTAACCAGAAACGAGACACCAATTATATTACCAAGGTATCTTGATATGTGCTACAATATATCTTATTTATTTTCTGTTAGCTATATCGTTTATTTTCTAGATGAAGCCAATTGCACTGATACTGTTGACGATTGTGACACATATAATTACTACCGGCTATGTAATACTTCGTCAGACAGACCGTTTGCAATGGTCTCCTGTCGTAAACATTGCGGTCTATGCAAAGGTTTGTTTATATTATCAAATGTGTTTATCCCATATCTTATAAAACATTTATCATATACGTGCAAAAGGTACTTTCAATTATTTAAAATGCATAGCAGGCTATATGGCCCAATACAAACAATCGTTAGTGACTTTAATCCGATCCGCTTTCAGGCAGTTTTATTGCAAAACCGTTTATTGATGTAGAATCTTTATAAGATATTTAGTTTATACAAATCTAATTCATATCTATTGTGCTGGAAGCTATAAGCTTATTGAAACAATCTCGAATCCGTTCCTGGAACAACCCGGTACTTAGCAATGATTGTAAAGTTTCTTGTTCAAAGAAACAACGGCTTGACCATGATGGGGATTGAACACATGCGGTCAGCAATCCTTAGAGTACTAGTCCGACGCGTTAACCACTCGACTACGCCACAATTCTAAGACAATTATATAAGTCATTATAAGATATTAATAAAATAACAAAATTTCAGAGAAAGAAACTTAAAAACAATAACGTTAATTGACAGCAGATGTGTTGCGCGTGTTTACAGTAGACTAAACACACGTCTTGATTATCAAATAAAAAAATCCTTTTTTGGATTTGCAGTTTGATATTTAATGTATTCATACTCACAGCATTGCCACTTTAGAGCGTACTACATAAATTATCGTACAACTATTGTTTATGACTTGTATATTTTGATTTATTTTGGTCTTACAGGAAATACTGCATCTCTTATCAATGCTATTTTGAGTTTCCATTTTTATTGAAACTTTATAAACTGTACTGTACTCGAATAAAGCAGCAATTAATGTTTTTGCTGTAATGATAAGTACAATTGAGTCTATCTTATCAATCAATTAAATTTAGTTATTATAATGAAATCTACATTGCAAAATGAGTACTAAACCTTAGCTTTAAAGATTTTTTTAAAATGATTGTTGGTTTATTTTAGAATGTGCCATTCCATTTTCACGACCACAAAATGCTAAAATGACATTATCATTGGAAGGGAATCAGTTTAAGTTGAGTTACAATTGTAATGATGGATATTCTTTGATCAATGGAAGCCTTACAAGGACATGTAACAACAGCACGTGGTCAGGTTCGATACCAAATTGTTTACCAGGTAAGTATATATATTACATAGATTTACTAGGTTCAGTTATGTTCTAGTTTTGAATATGGCATCAATAAAACATTTATTACAGTTTATACAAAGAGACAGTGACAAAGAATCATGACATAGTTTGTATGGGCACTAGTTATAAATAAAAAGAAAAGGTTAATATTAGATTGCTATCCGTCATTATGCGATAATGTCCACAAATGCCACAAAGTGTCACAAACCCGAAGGCTTTTATGGATTTGATCGCTATAATCTTAAACAGCGGCGATCAGCAACCTAGTATTAACGTCCCTAGAACCTACGAAGGATCTGCAGTGAAACATGCAGTTTAAGCATCGTCGCTTGTCTTGCTTTTCGCCCTTGGAAGGAAACGGACTTTTGCAAAATATGCCACCAGTCAGAACCCTCAGATTGATTTACTTTTTTGTAAAAATAACATTAGGTGCCATTTTTGTTAAGTTTTATTCTTGAACGGATCTGATCTCGTAAAATCAGAATCAACAAGCTCATGATGCCCAAAACCCCATATCTACATCTTTTCTCTGTATTGTCAATGGTTCTTCTTCTTCAATTGTTTCCCATTGGTTTTTACTTTTGCATAGAGCATCAGCGGGGCAATAACTCTCCTCTGCCACACCGAGAGCTACAATGTTATTCCATATTAGGTATAAAGTGTATAATTTAATTAAAAACTAATTAAAACCATTGAAAAAATATATGTTTAAAGTCAATCTAACAAGTTTGAATAGAATCATTAGCATGGCGAACTTATTTAAAAAATCTCGGACTGTAAAAATCAGACAAAAAATCATTTTCATTGGTAATTTCTATCAATGCAATACAGCGTAAAGGAATAACTTTTTTAAAGATAAGCTTTCATTAATTATCATGTTTAAAAATGGTACAAACTACAAAACACTAATTAGAGATTTAAAAAATGGCGGAAAAATATATTCGGATCCACACAAAACACTCCGCTGAAAGATTGAGCACCATCCATTTATTGATATAGATTGAACTATACTTAAATAAACATGCACTTTAAATTCACTAAGTTCGGGAAAGTCCTGTCTTAACTATAGACGTATTTCGTATATTTAACACTTTAAAATCATAACAGCTTTCCGCTTCATCATAAGCACTTAATTTAACATTAGTTTCATAAGATTTACCTGAAATTGTTGTCTAGATCTTATCCTTTTTTACTTTCTTTTGCCATTAAAGTCTTAAAAATTGTTTGCGCGTGACAACAGTTCATGTAAAGGCAGCCGTCTTAAAATGGTTAATACGTCATTGGTATAAAATACGTTATTTCTTTGTTGCCCTGACCCTCTGGTCATTATGGGCAGCTTCTGACATTGCAAAAATGACATTTACATCAAGATTGCAATGTCAGAAGCTGCCCATAATTACCTGGGGGTCAGGGTACCAAAGTTATATCGTCTTTTATACCAAGCTGTCTATGTAAACAAATGTAAGAAACCTCCTATTATCTTAGCAAATATAATAAAATAAAGATGAGAAAATGATGTTATATTGTTGTTTATATTGAGAACTGTTCTTTATTTGTAAAAATAATGTTTAGTGCTTGTTTTTATTAAGAAGTTGTGTGACTTTTTAAAAAAAATTGTGTAAGTGACTTATGTTCATTCAACGACATTAGTCATATTTAAAGTCACTGAAAGTTGATCACGTATTTGTGCACGTGTGCTATTTCACATGTCCATTGTTGAGAAAATGATATCGAGTAACAAGACGACCAAAATTGCAAAATTACTCAGACCCAGAAGAATGGCCAGAATTGTGTTACTTAATAGTTACTTATATTTATACATATAAAATTCTCGTTCTTAAATTTGCATTAATACTTGAATAATATGCCGTGCTACTATAAAAAGCCGAATTGCGAACGAAACACTAATACCTTTCTACACCGTAGATGGTTACTAAACGGTTACTTACGTATGTGCATATTTTCATATTGCGCTTTAACGGCATTTGTCTATATTCAAATGTCATTAATTAAGAGAAATCTTAAAAAATCCACCACTATGATGGTTTTTATATTTGAAATAAATTTATTGTACGACATCTGCGTAAATGTTGAACCTGTGACGTCACTTTATTTGTAGCGCCTTTCCTCCCGCTTTATTGATACAAGCAAAGAGTTGCTTGGTTTTCTTATAAGCTTTTTGTCATGAACAACTTGCATTAAAATGTATTCATTTTCGAATGTAGCCTTGGTGATATACATTTTAATCCCCTGCGTGCGCTTTTGTCCATATTGTTTCTCATACAATCTATATTTTCTTCCGTATAGCCCATTAGCAACTTGTTTATCTAAAGATATTTATCAATTTCATGCGCATTTTCATGTTCACTTATATTTTTCATTGCAGTGAAACATATTTTCCGTTTTTTTACTGGTATCTTTCCGGATTACTTAATTGAACTTATACACAAAATTAACGGGGTTTTGGGATCATTAAATCAGCACTTTTTAAAATTTAAGTACCGCTCAAGCCAATACTAGTGGGGTTAAGGGAAATTGCACTATTTTATTATTCATCATGTACATACTCAGCCAAACCATGTCTGCAACTTTCATGTTATATTGGTGTGATTAACAATGCTTTAGATTTTTATACATCATAACAAAAGATGTCAAATTCCGTGTAGCAGCTGTTAAAAGTTGCCCCATACTTTACTTTAGTGTGTCGTATAGTTCAGATAAATATTGTTACACATCATATTAAAATAAATGACAAGTCGACATGTATATATATATATGCTTTTATTTCATATATAAAAAGGCTGTAAATAGTTCATATGTCAAGAATGATAGATAATCTATTTGGGAATCGGCTGGATTGTACGTATTTCATAACTTTTTATGTGAAAGCTGTCATTACAAATACTGGTCTGAAAAGCCCAGTCGAGACAGTACGAATTTGGCAGTTAACTTGTACACTTGTGTATTAGTATTAAAATATGATACATCTGTGCGTTTCTTAATCTTTCCACTATACAACAAGTGTTGTTATATTTTTCTGGTCCCTTGAGATCATCAAAACTAGCCATTCAAAATGTTAAAATTTGGTACCGCTCAAGCAGATGATAAGGGGCATAAGGATTTTTTTTTAAATTTACCTCATTTACAGACTCAATCAAAAGGAGTATTATTTGAAATGTTTTTTCGTTGTAATTAATGTTTCCAATGGTTAACCCTTTTTCCTGATTACAAAAAAAAAAGAAAAAAAAAAGAAAAATGTATATAATGAACAGAAAATTTCGTTATCAGAATAGCACAAAACTGGATTACAATGACAATATATTGATTTATTGTTTTAACTTATGTTGGAAATTTTTTAATACATTTCTATTCCGAACATTATCTACATAATTACTCTTTTATTACATTGAAATGCTTTTCAGTCATGAGAAAATATTATTATTTCAGACTGTAAAGACATTAACTTAGTTCCTATAAATAACACAAAGGAAAAGACGGCAGACGGTAACAGATATGGATCCAAAGCAACAGTCACTTGCAAAGAGGGCTACGTGGTATCTCAAAATTACAATCAGACTGCTTTCAACATGTCTTGTTCATCCGACGGAGTGTGGCAAAATAAACTTGACTGCGTTCCAGTTGGTTAGATTGCTTTTATATCTTTGCTTACATGTCTGTTTATTATTATTAATGATATTTTTTAAAGTACACCACATCACAGCTATTCTTGTACTGATCTGTGAATTATACAAGTACTGATAAACAAGTTTATAAGTCATAGGAACACATCTACCGTTAGTTACAAAAAAGTTCCGACACATGTCATCCGATGATCCGTGTAAATTAAATGAATTTATATATATACAATAACATAAAATAACATTACTTGTCATTCCTTTTTCAAACAGTCCGATATATTGTTTCAGATATATTTTTTTTCAGATTGTGCAAATGTGACACAATTAAAAGCCCATTATATACAATCAATTGCATATTTACCAAATACAAAATTTATGTCAATCGCGACTGCCACTTGTGAAGTTGGACATGTTGTTCCTGGAGGAAATAACAGACAGAATCAATTTAATACGACTTGTGCATCTGACGGGTCTTGGAAAAATGTAACAAGCTGTGTGAGAATAGGTGAGTTAATTTACATGACTCTTTGTATTTTATATTATATTTGTCGTGCACCGATGAATCTATATGATATTTCTCTTGAAATTTGTCTTAAAATCCCTACAGGACACTGACACAGTGCATAAAATATATTACTTCACAATAACTACTTTTAAAGTTTTTTTTTATTATTTATTTGACATTATTCCCATCCAAGGGTAAATGGTTGGCGTACAGGTCAAAGTCAAAATGACTTCAGATTTGGTCATAATTTATTTAATCCCTAGACTCATAGATAATCCGATAAATAATCATCGACATGTATCGTTAAACGTTCAGTTAATAAAAAGTGTAATGTAGTCTTATTTATATTTTAGGCAGTTGTTATATTTTATCCTTACATTTTACATTGCCAAATATTGGACAATGATCATTATAACTATAATTCTTTTTAAAACATGGTCAATTCAGCTCAACCAAATAATGAAAAAATCAGCACAATATGTCATTTGAAGTGTTACATTGATCATGGAAACAAGCATGATATTGATTTCAAGGTTTAAACAAATCACGTTTACCTGTAACTTTTTTTTCTAAATCTTATAATCATGTATCTTTACTTTACAATATTAAATGTCGCACATAATGTACCCTTGCATTTACCGAAAAAAGCTAGCATTATACTTAAAGATAAATAAATAAAATCACAAGTAACGACTCCATTCATCTTATTTTATAGTTTTCTTTCAAAGAACAAAAAGAATAGCTTATATGCTTGTACCATTTATATTGATATGATTACAGTGATTCTGTATCTGTTTTATCTAGATTGCGGGAAAATAATCTTGTCAAACATTCCAAATGCAAAAGAGATATATTTTCAAAATGATACGAAATACGAATCATCAGCTAATATATCTTGTGACGAGGGATTCACTGTTGCAAATCAGACTCAGACAAAAGATATATCATCCACTGTTGTAAAATGTAAAGAGAATGGAAAATGGGAGAAACTCCCTACATGTCTTAAAAAAGGTAAACTATACGGAATATATTTTTGTATTCTTATTGTGGATAGGGTTATACAGAATTATGCTTCATTTTGTATTTGTGAGATATAACAAATGGTTATTAAACAGTTCTGTAGAAATTTGAGTATCTCTTTATACATGTATATAAGATAATTTATCATCATTTCACATGGGACAAAGTTTCAAAGCTTTTGAAATTGAGAAAAATTCCCATATTTTGGTATTGCAAGGTTGTGCATTAAGATGGCGTTTAAATGAAAATCAATGCATACCGCACGAAATGAAACAAATGTACGATAAGTTTCCATTCAATAAAATACAAACTATGACTTTCACAAATGATTAAGAAACGCCTATCATAATTCCAAATCGCCTTGGTCAATATTATTTGATTTAGAACATATTATAGTATTTGTAAGCTGAAAAGCCACTAACTGATCAATACTCAAGAGATGAAGTTTTCATAAAATATTTTTACGAACACAACACAAATCGACATTCACTCAGATTGATTTCTATTTTCAAACTTTTACCGGACCTTTGTGTCTTTTCGCAAATATTCTGAATTCATTCAAGTTTTCATGAACGCCAAAGGACTACACATATTTTTTTCCAATGCGTTTTGTTCAGAATTGTTGCAAAAAAACTCACGATAAGTAATTTCATATCTATACGTATGTGGGCAGATTTTCTAAAATCTACATGGGGAGAAAAAATTTCATTTATTTTAAAATATATTTTAGAAAGAAAACAGAAAACACAAGAAGTAAATATACGCTGATATAGACGCGTTACAGTTTGCAAAAAGGCTCTTCTAAACTAATTAGAGAAAAGCATTCCATAGGTTATTTAATACATTCATGTTTAAATCAGTTTATAAAAAGTGTTGAGAATATTAGTATTTTTAACCATTTGTTTTCAAAGATGTATCAAAAGCAGAATATAATAAGTGTATTTCAGGCGGCGTCTAATTTTGTATGAAATACAAAAAACAAACTTATTTGTACTTAAGATTGTGGAGACATACACATTTTAAGCATAGAAAATGCAGCAGTCAGGCGAAATGTAAATGGAAATAAGTTCGGAGCTGTAGCGCAGATTGATTGTGATGTAGGATACTACCACCGTAATCAGACAAAGGAAATTTCAACAACAAAAATTACATGTTCTGAAACGGGTGAATGGACAGACATACCAACCTGCAGACGCAAAGGTTCACGACATTTTTTGTCTTTTATTTTTATTAAATTTTCATGAATTAAAGGGACATGCCACTCCTTTTCCGTTGTTAAGTTGAGCTCAACGTTCCATTTTTTTAAAAAAAAATCAGTTTTTAAGTAAAACAATAAAAACATGTAGACTTCTATGCAATGTCAGCTATGCTAATTCATGGGACTTTCATTTAACAAGACTACTGGTTTCAATAATTTACTAGGCTTTTGCTCATCCGTCAGCGATCACGTAATCACAGAAAGCTTACCTTTCTACAGATGAAAATGTGTTTAACCATAAGCTTACTACTGATTTCGGAATAGATTAATCCTTGACATTAGTAATGAGTCAGGGTAGCTTGCATCTAAGTAAACTTTAACCAGATTCTATACTGTTGCTAGGGTTTTATTCCTATTTTGTTGGTCTCTTAAGATTCAAAGAGCCATTCCAGTATATTAATTGGTAATATGTAGATTTCTATATAGATATATAGACTCGCAGAAACATAAATGACTATGGGTATTTTCTGCGACTTGGGGGTTATTTACAAGAGAATCTAAGCATGAAATCTTTCTCATTGACTTCTTTAATGGACTTCAGCGGAGGTTTCCAAATTCAAAATTTTACCTTTTAATGTAAAAGATTTAATGTTGAATTCTACTAAAGCTGCTAGGAACGTCGATGGTATTGTACACTTTCGAGTACCGTTCATGAACAGAGACAATCAAACCGAGTCTGTAGTATTTTTATTTCGGCCTTTCTGGACTTTCTTAAGTGTTTTTATTTCTATTTATTGTACTGAGCAATTATGTTTTGAACATGTTGATGGCCATATCGGATTACTTTAGATTACACACTTAAGGAAGATGTTATGTATCAAAATTACATTTAAAGGCTAAAAAAGTAGGATGATAGTTTGCATGCTTTGGTTGTAGAGAATTAATTGAACAAGATATAATATCAGCAGAAGACAACCCATAGAGATTAGTTTAAACACATCAATGACTGTTCTTTGTTGTGTAGGTATATTATTAAAGTCGAAAATAGTTGTTTGAATTTGGTGTACACTAGTTTTATAGCTTACGGCTAGCTACATTAATTACATTTCTTAATTGTAATGACCATTTTCTTCTATTGAAGACTGTAAGAACATTGCAAATCTGGGTCTAAATTACATAAATTTACCTGCACGTCTAGACAAAGACACAATGTACAACTCTACCGCAGATGTTGATTGTAAAGAAGGTTATTATAACAAGAAGCAAAATCAAACCACTGGGATTTCAACAACAACAATGTTTTGCTCCGATAAAGGGACTTGGATAAACATGCCTACTTGTAAACTTAAAGGTAAAACAGATAACGAAGCCTCATGTATATAAGTGACTAGATCGGTCATTGTGTTTGCAACATACTGCTATTGTGTTTGCTTTATCACATGAAATATGAAAATAAAAAGAAATGTTTCTGTACAGTATGGTATGTTAAGACTCACAAGTCAAAGTAGGGCATTGTTGCCCAAAACCATACTCGTGCCTCTTGAAACACAAAATATAAATGATTCGAGAATGATGTTCGGTCTTATAATGAAACGAATATAAGAACCTTTTTTAAATCTCTCTGACAATTTGACCATGACGAAATGTCCAGGTTTAATACATGTAATATATACTTTTGCTAAATTATATTTATTTTCTAATTAAAACATTTTATTGAAACTTGTAGTCAGAGAAACATTGATAGAAATGAGAAAAAATATCAATTTTGTCAGTGTGACCATATCAGAGATAAATTTTATTTTGTATCAGTTTGTTCAGCTTTTACTATTATATTAACTTAAAGATGGCAGTATATCCCAAAAAGTATTATACAATCACGTTTCTAATACAAGTATTACAATTTACTTTTCTTATATGGTATACACATTTTAAATGTTTTAAATACATTTTTGTTCATCCATTCATTGCTGTTGACTGCAAATGCTTGTTTGGGACCAATTTATTAATTATAATTATGAATTACATGTACAATAAAATTCATAAAAATTATCCATGTACGTGTTATGCTCATATTAGGATATATAATTATATATCTTACTTTGAATAACAGTTATCTTGTTGTTTTTTTTTTTTTTCATTTCGATATGTTATGTTTAAACATGTATTATCCTTAAAAACTTCATGTATGTATACTTGCATTTATATAACGAGGAACTGTAAATGTTCATATTAGGGAATGTTCTGTTCTGTTTTGTAAAAAAGTTATCTGTTGAATGTTTCAGATTGTGGACCTTTGGAAGATTTGACCATATCGAATGCTGGCCTTAGATTACTATTTTCTGGATCTAATTACGGATCGATAGCCGCTATTACATGCGATAAAGGATATTATGATTTAAATAAATACAATCAACCAGAAGGCACTTCAACGACAATGATAACTTGTTCTGTAAATGGAATCTGGACTGGTTTACCAATCTGCGCAGGGAAAGGTGAATATGTTTTATTCTTAATATCTTCTTATTCGCCGTCCATCTTCCATGATATCTGTTAGACCACATTTGAGCAAAGCTATGGATATGAAATACATTTGTTATGAATGTGAGCGATGCCGATTTCATACGCGTTATATATTCATATAACACAGAAGGAGAATTGAACCCATTAAGTGCTGAAACACATTATATGGTATTTATTAAGTGTCATTAAACTATTTAAAGTACAACAGTAGAATTTTACATTCATTTACATTTTTTCACGATTCAGATACATATTGAACAAGAAAATCGGTATTTCATTCCACCTGTCTGTCTATCTGTCTGTCTGTCTGTTTTTCTGTCTATACTGTTATTACTGTCGGCGTTTTTTCTTGAATCCTTTTTAAATATAACTATACTGTATGGTCTTTTACAAATGTGACCATCAAAACAATATTTACATTATAAAAAGTAAGCATAGGAGGTATAGGCCGCTCTAGTCGCCCTGATTCCAATACAAAACCAAGAAAACCAGACGTCGCATACATTAATTAACGAAACAACATGCACCCCGAAACCTGTTAATCAAAATAACACTTAGCACTCGTTAACGGAAGTCTGTGATGAATGAGAAATAATGAACAGACCACAGTAACCTAAATAATGATGTAATATCAGATACAAAGAGCGTCTTTATGACAAAATTGGTACCGTTCCAATAAGATGACAGAAGAGAATACAACGGGACTCAGGTATAAATCCCGTCTGATATAATAAAAAATCCATCTGCTTAAATTAAGTTTTATATGTGACAAGGTTAAAATCTAAGCATTAAGAGCAAAACGAATCAATTGTTGCTCGGTTCCAATCAGCTGTCACACTCACTTTGTATAAAAAATAATGCAGGGCTACCAAATTTATCACTGCATTTAATATTACTATCTTTTCACCCTTGGATAGCAACGCAATACGCTTACGCGAAAATGGTTTAGCAAACCAAGTATTGGCGGCGGGGCAATATAATTCAACCATAGCTCATATATTAAACAAAATCTCCCACAATGTCATCATGTGTGAATAATATCTACAAACATTATACCATAGTATATATTGGTAGTGTCAGCGTGTACATCTTTTCAGTGCTTGATTATTGTGGTAAGGTATGGGGAAAGGACAATTACTCAAACATTTATATAGTAGACTCAATCCAAAAAAGAGCTGCCAAATATTCAGTCGCTCACAAGGATATTGTACTGAAAACTATATCTCATAATAATAATTTAAGGAATTCTTTATCTTATATCAGCATTACTGTTTTGAAACAAATTAAGTACAATGTATTACTATCAAACAATGTTTGACATCATGATTTTTCAAAAACAGCTTAAAAATCAATGTCTTACATTACAATTAGATACATGATGAAAATTGACCACATGGTGTTGTACCTATTGATATACGAATGTAAGTCTGATAAATGATTAAACATATCTTATATTTACATTAAAGAATCTGTTTAATTTTTTGTTTGTACTGGACGAAAAACAAAATCAAATTTTGTATAGATCTACCAGTATTTTTTTCTTGTAATAAATGTTACTCTTTTTATTGTTATTGTTAAATCAGAAGGCCGTCCTGAAAATAAGTATACATGTTCTCTTTTAGATTGTGGTGACGTTAACGCGTTATATATAGATCATGCAGCAAACAGACGCCAGAATAATGGTACCAAGTACACATCAACGGCAGACATAGATTGTAATGAAGGCTATTATATCAAGGGTCAACCTCAGTGGATTGGAATATCAACAAGAACAATAACATGTTCTGGTACGGGAATGTGGACGGACGTACCGATCTGCATTCCTAAAGGTAAAAATGCAATATAGAATATCTTTCTTACTACAATCTTTTAGTTGATACTCCTAATGATGTATCAAAAGTGTTGAATGATAGTTTCCGACCAATCGTAAACATTATGATTAAACAAAAATTATTTTGGACTTAAAGTGATTAATATACAAGACAACTCAAAGGTGTAAAAAATTTTATAGTGATAGTAAAATGTAAAACAGGGTCTAATATATACAACAAGAACTTCTACAACATTTATATAGTATTGCAAATATAAACAAAGGGATGACTAATTCAATGTAAATCAAATCATTGCTTATCATTATTTTTAAGTAATTATTATATAATGCTGCATATAACAATGACATAATCATTTCTTACAGCTATAAATGAATAAACATACACATTAAATTATGAACATGTTGGTACTGATGTCTCTTCAAAGTAGAGTTTTAATATACTGTATTAATTTAGGTGTATCTATCACTTGTTTTTAACTATCACTTCACTTCAGTGTTGTTATATTTTTCTGGTCCTTCAAGATCATTGATGCCAGCACTATTAAGTGTTGAGAATTGAGTACCGTTCAAGCCGGTGCTTGGGGGCGTGAGGGATGTTGCACTTATTCATTATTTCTCATGTACAGACTCAATCAAACCGAGTCTGCAATTCTTATGTAATTTTGTTGTGATTAATGCTTCCGAGGGATCACTTTGTTTCCAGATTTTTTTACGATTGACTTCAAACATTTTGTAATCATATACAATACATGTATCGATAGTATTAAAACCACACATGAAATACTGCAAATGGAAACAAAAGGATAAGGTATTTAAATTATAAATTCTACATACTTATATCTTTGATTTAATGCAATAGCTTGGATGGAAGAGAAAAATATAAAGCACTGTAAAAGATTAGTTTAACGACCTTGGCTTCACAAACAAAAACAATTGTGATAACGAGAAGTAGACTTAAAAGTTGTTAAGGACCATAGCAACCACTGTGTAAAAGTTTGGGGTTAAAACTCCTCAACCACATAGAAAAAATAATACTGTATTCAAACGTGTTGTTGGAGCTCTTTATTTTCAATATTAATTGTTGATATTTTATATACTGACTGTCATTTTCGATTAAAAAAGAACTGTTTAAACAATTAAAGTTTAATCAAACAAATTTGAAAATGGCGTTTATTAATGGAAACGTTTTGTTGGTATAATAAATCCATGGATTAGCAACACGTACAGAGGAAAATACTGGACAAAAACACTGAAAATACGAAACAAATATCGCAAGTAACCTTTCTTATGTTAAAATTCTTTTGTTCAAGTTGATATAATTATCAGTGTGGTTTTTAAGCTTGAAAAATGGAACAGTTAAGTTGTATGTGTTCCGAAATGCACCTGTCGTGTTTCGGTAAGTGAAGTCAGTTTCTAACACCAACATATACACAATCAGTAGGAAATGATATTTATAAATGATTAATATGCACAAATATATGTAAATTATAAACATTATATCAATTTAACACATCAATAATCATATGATATAGTGCACACTTATTGAACATTATAAACTGAGTGTACGTCTTTGGTGTTTTTATTTTTAATATTTTCATGTGCATTAGTAAACTTACAGGATCGTGGACGTTATTGGTGGTCTCGTTATTTTGGACAAAAAAATTTATAACTCACTAATTTCTTGTGTAAAATAAACTGTTCACTAAAATGCAATGAGATCTAAACGAAGTGTAAACTGTTGTGCTTGAGGACGTTTGGGTAAACAGATCTTAAATATCGCAGCAATGTATCAAGAGAGTTCAATGTACCAGGAAGGTTAACGAACTGTCCTGTACATGTTATTTTAGACCTATCCTGTACATTTTATTTTATAATGGCAAGAACTGTCCATTACATTTTATTTTAGAGTGACCAATGAGATTCCCAGAATTCAGTTTGTAATTCTAAAATTACCAATGAAAATCATTCTGAATTCAGTAATTTACAGGAAGTCAAACTGATTTTAGATTACCTTCGTTCAACACGACATCATACTCGATCACTATTAATATGCAATGTGAAATATTCAATTTTTCATATCTATAATGCTCAATAATAAGTTTGAAACTGCGAATCTTATAATTTCTCATATTATGACATAAAATATACCTTGACAAGAAATGCATTTGTATACGTCGGTTATTGACATTAATTTTACCTGTCAATGTCACAGACGTTAGGGGTTAACATTTAAAAAACATGTGTTTTTGTTGTTTATTAAATATTTGGAACAGGTGCATTTCGTAAATATAAAGCGCACTGTAAACGTTATTATGGATAATAAAATCTTTTTAATTAGTTTTTTGTCCTATTAACATACGTATGTACAAATTAAATATGCACATTAAATTAAATACTTCGTGTTATGATCAAATATGTTGTCTACCCGATATACTTCTAGCCACTTCACTGACATTTTCACACGATACGTCGATACCGATATCTTATTGAAGATTACTGACCGAGTTCCACGCGGTTTTACACAGATTAAGTAACATAAAACACACTTTGATCAGTAGAGGGGTGTGTCATTTAGACCAAATGGAGAAAGTTGAAATCAGACCTTCATTAAGTACCTCTGTAAGAAAGGGAGGTCCCCCAAGGAAATCCATGAAAACTTCATGGATACCCTTGGGAAGGAATCCCCTTCCTATTGCACTGTAAAAAAATGGGCTGCTGAATTTAAGAGGGTCAGGGAGAGCATTGGAGATGGTGAGTGACTGGGCGGCCAAAAGCGACCACGAACGATAAACTGCCGAAGCTGTGCACTTGGTCATGTGCAACGGAAGGAGAGACCTTCGAAGCATTGCAAAGGAAGTGAGCATAAGTTTTGGTACAGTTCAGGCAATTCTGACTGATGTCTATGACATGTGAAAGGTTTCCGCTAGATTGGTCCCAGGAGAGTTGACTGACGACCAGAAACGGACAAGGCTTGACATTTCAAGATATCTTTTGTCTTGCTACGAGGATGAACCTGATTTTATCTACCGGATCGTAACTCAGGATGAAACATGGGCCCATCACTTCGATCCAGAATCCAAACAAAAAAAACAGAGCATGCAGTGAAAGCACCAAGGGTCACCCCCTAAAGAAATTCAAGAGGATGCCATCAGCAAGGAAGATGATGGCTTAATTTTTTTGGAATTGCCAGGGGATAATCATGATTGACTATCGTTAGCAAGGTTGTACCCTGAACGGAACGTACTATGCAGTCAAATTGAGACGTCTGCAACAAGAAACTGCACGTAAAGGAGGGGCATACTGACATAAGGCGTTCTGCTCCTGCACGACAATGGGCCAGCTCACCCATCCCAAGTTGCGATGGCTGCTGCAACTGACTGCGGCTTTGAAATTCTTCCCTATCCCCATATTTTCCGGACTTGGCCCCGTCTGACTTCGACCTGTTTCCGAAACTGACAACCAAGCTTCGTGAAAGACGTATTTGAAGCAATGAAGGTGTCATGGAGGTGGTCAGTGAGTTCCTTGAAGGACCAAAATAGAGAGTTCTATTTTGAAGGGTGAAGCAAGTTTGAGCACAGGTGGGCAAAGAGCATTGAAGTAGAGGCAATTATATTGGAAAGTAAGACCATAAGTTGGGTGCTCTGACTACCGGGAGTATATCGGGCCGAGAACTTTTTGATCAATCCTCGTACCTTCAAGTAATTGACTGTAATTTGGGATATTAAATATTGGATACTTAATGAGAAATTTACATTAGTCATATATATATTCTTGTAAAACCATTAGATTAATTAACAGCAATTTGGAATGGAATAGTTTACGGTTGGATCATTTTCCATAAGTATTTCAAACATTGATAAAAGCAATAGAAATATATCCTGGATATTTTTATAAAATTTTCTTGGAAATATAATTTGTGATAGAGTTCTCAGTGATTCATTATGCACATTAATATTAAGAGTTACTGTAATCATTTTGACATAAAAAAATTATTATCTGCTATATATACAGATATGTCATACCGGATCATGCACTTAATAATTACGAATAACATACATGTATAATTTGTTCGTGGTTATGTATCACGAATGAATCTCAATACAATCAACATAATTATTGACTGACTAATATGTTCCAGTTTATTTTATTTGAAGCTCATTTATGCATTTTTGACATGATACAACTAAACACTACGCAATGGAGATATGTGGCATTTTATTACAAATTACAACTATCAAACACTCAAATATGAACCATTATAATTGAACAATATAGCTGTTGATATTAGTTAATAAAGTAGAATGTAAATTCAGACTTTGCAAGACCAAATAGTTTGTTCATGATGAACATTGATAAAAGTAAAATCACTTTCATAATTCGATACATTTTTGAAAGTATCATAGAAGTTGTATCCCAATGGCACTGATCCTTGTGTGTCTTCATTTTTAAAGAAATTTCGAATGTCTGTTTTATACAATACTTAATAAATGTGCACTATTTTTTTTCTTTTTTGTCAGCACAAGGAATGAATCAACGTTGATAACATGCTTGCAATTAATAAACAGCAGTGTTTTATGTCCTTTCCAACGTTAAACTGACGGAATTTTTTTTCCAGTTTATTTACAGTGTTGTTGTTTCGCATTCCTTTTACAAAGTTTCAATTTTCTATATCAGTTATGTTTAGAAAAGTTTGATTGTTAAAAGCATTTGATTTGTCATAATTGATTTATTTTCTCTGTTACAGCAACAAAACTGTCATGACTTTCTGTTGTACCATTCAAAGTTACAGTGATTATCTGATTAACATTATTTACTAAAGAAGTACTATTATTGTTTCTTGCTGGACTGGACCAGAATGATAATCAGAAAAAGAGTTAACTTTGTCTACATTCTGCTCTATGATATCAACAAGGTGTATTTGGTCAGTTTGGAAAAGCTATGATCTTTCTAAAAATCAAAGTCAAAATAAAAATATTCATCAGATTGTTCAATAACAAATACCCATTCTGAGTAAGGGTTAAAGTCAGTATTAAAGAATCATTGGATAACGGAGAGTTCGTTGCCTTGTTCTTTTGTCAGTAGGCCTAATAGTATATACATGTAAACAGCTGAAGACGACGGTAAACAAAATCGCAAACACTCTTTTTACATGAACGTTATTTGTGTATATCAATCGCAACTTTTCGGCCCTGTCCGACAGTATTCGGATAAGGACCTCGAACACAATAGTTAGAATTTACAGAACGTATACCGTATTTTTGTCTAACCTACGCCAAGAAACTTAACATGTAAACAAATAGTAATTAAATGCTGCGAATTTTGACAAGTTTTTATTCCAATATATCAAGCAAAATTCACATAAAATAAGTAAATTCATAGATATAAAGGTAAACAGTACACTATTGATATACTGATCATTATGGCTGTACAAACCTAAAGTACAAAATACCAATCTGTTGTCATTAAGTCGGATTTGTTCAGCGGGCATATTTAAATAAAAAATGGTTGCCAGAAATATATTCAAGCATACGAGTAATTGAACCGAAACAGACTTTATTTTCCTTTGAATGTCAAATATACAAATTCGTTTAACATTATCAAAGATTATACTCTCTGTTTCTGTTTACGTTTGAAACCACGTGGTAGAACTACTTTCAAGTCGTTTTTACTCTAAGGTTATTATAAACGATAGAGGACGTTCTGATTTTTGTGTATAATTAATAGGTTTTGAAAATCGGACCAATTTGTAGACTTTGCATGTAAGAAATGTTGATGAACATAAACAAAATATGTTTCTTTATATATTTTGACAGCGGACTTTCGGTACTAGATATAGCAAAGGATTCCGTACAAAGTATCTTTTTTTAGGGAGAAAATTTAAAGGTAGTCCGGAGTTCTATGCTAACAAGGTACTTTACATCTAAATATAAAAATAAAAAATGAATGAGATTTTCCTGCTATTTGATAAGAGAACATTTTTCAATACTGTTAGCAATTTAGTTCAAAAGATCCAATTCAAATGATTCTTTTAAGTATTTTCATTATCTGCCATTTTGAGTGATTTCTGAGGAGGTTACTACAGTATCACGGTTATCCCAAAAATGCAAGAATTGAAGGATATATATGACTGTTTGTGGGATTATAACGTGACATATGACTATGTAAAAACAATTATTGGCAACATTAGTCAAATATGAAGATTTCGTAAACTAGTTTTTTTACCATAAACAAATTCATTATTCACTAAATTAAATTTATTGGCAGATGCTTTGTGGTTGAGTGTAACAGTTTAAGCCATTGTAGCATCGGCATGTGTTGTTTTACAAGCAGTCACTGAAAACGTAAATATCGTGATATCGTAGAACCCGCGATATCATAAGAACAGGGTATATTTAATAATTACTAGTGTTATAACTTTAAATGAAAAACATAAGTAATTGATGAAAAGTACATTGTAGCGCACGCACTAAATGCGATTCTAAAGGGTGATAATGATTGAATGAATTAAAAACATTATACACTCAAAATAAACCAACTGCACCACCCACTTTTATGGTCAGATGTTCTAAACAAAGAACTTGGATTAACATTCCTAATTGTAAATTTCAACTATTCAACAAATTTAATGGTATTTCCATAATAGAATTTAAATGTTCTGCATTTTATGACTAACATCCTCAAAAGCAGTGAGGTTAATTTATATACAATTCCTGTATAATAAATAGGTTTTTTTCAGATTGCGGATCTCTTGAAATGTTCAATATATCAAACAATGCAATTATTTGTTCTTTCGTCGGATTGCTGCTTAAACGTGTCCCATTGCCTTTCTTCAGACATGAATAATTTCTTTTATACTTAGAACTGTCTTTCTTAAATAGATGATCAAAACGTGTTTTATTTGTTATCAAACGTTGACATTTTTTCAAGATTGTGGGAGATTGGACCAACTAAATTTATCAAACGCGAAAGATAGAAGCCTTATCAACGGAACCACAATTTATACGTCGCTGGCGAATATAAGTTGTGATGACGGATATAAGGAGTTAATAAGTAGCCAGGTACTAGGAATAACAAGCACAGTGGTTAGATGTAACGAAAACGGAACGTGGGAAAATCTACCGAAATGTGTCAGAAAAGGTATTCATTTATTTATCTGTAATTTAGCTATTTTGTTTCACTGATTTAGACCGACATTTTATTTTTATCCTTTTTCTTATTTTATTTTAATGATACCGCTAAGAACAAAGATTATTTTCAAATATCTAGAAAATGTGATCCCCCGGAAGCATTAAAACAGCAAACATCCCTCACGCCCCGTAGCACCGGCTTGAGAGTACTCATTTCTAAACACTTTCAAGTGCTTGTCACATTGTCTTACTCAATAAACAGTTTCATGTTTAAATCTGAACATACAATATCTTTATCTTTAAGATTGTGGAGACGTTCAGAATGTCAGGATTGAACATGCAGCTAATAGGACTCTTTTGAATAAGAATACTAAATACAACGATACGGCAGAAGTCACGTGCGATTTAGGTTACTACGTTACTGATCAATACCAAACAACTGGTGTATCTAAACGTACACTACTATGCTCCTACACGGGACAATGGACAAACATTCCCAAATGCATTCCAAAAGGTTAACTATATATTTTAGTAATAATATAATCTTACATATAATTTTTTTTTTTTATAAAATTTGATTATGCTCGTATGATATTAAAATTATTTTATCAACCATATCAAAGTGAACAGCCGAAAGCATAAAGTATAACACAAAAGTGAACCCTATAATTTTTCCATTCTTTCTTTTTAATAGGTATTAAATACTTATCAATGCATTGTTTCACTGATGAACATTAAAATATTTTATACAATTGCAGACTCGATTTGATTGAGTCTGTACTCATTTCGCTAATTTTTTACAATGATTAAGGTTTAACGATCGCTCGATGTGAATATAAATTTTATTAACTTTCGATCCAAATAAACTACAGTTTCAGGTCAGTTCATGGTTATTGTACGAGGGGAAGTCAGAAAATATCGGACTTTTGACTCGTTCTAAAAAAACATTCAACATTTTAAAATAAATCTTTCTACTCTTTTTCATGTTTTTCAAAATATTCTCCACCTACATCTACGCACTTTTACCATCTTCGTGGGAGCTTTTGTATTCCCGCAGTAAACATGACATAAACCTATGTAACAGCAGATATCAAAGCCGCTCTGGTCTTATATTTCTTTCCAGCAAGCAATTTTTTCAGTTCTGGAAACAAATAAAAGTCGCAGGGGGCGAGGTCTGGGCTATAAGGAGGGTATGAGACAAGAATTGCCATTTGTAAGAGTTGATAACCGCCACTGTAGCTGCGGCGGTATGGGAGGGGTGTTATCGTGAAGAAGGAGGACATTTTTCTGTGT